TGATGGATGGAGGCGCTGAAAGAGACCGTAGGTCACATTCAGTCTGTCCTGATGGTGAGTGGGACTCAGGGCGCCCAGCAGCCACGGGGGCTGAGTGGACGGTGGATGGCTACAAGACCAGGGCCTTTCCTTCCTGACTCATCTCCTCCTCCAGCAAAATACAGATACACATGAGAGCCCTCCTGTGAGTCCACCTGCCTAAGCTGGCTAGCAAAAAAGGCTGGGCGCATCTGTGAGCTCTGGGTCTGGCTGAGAGAGCACGAGAGAGACCCTGCTTCAGTGAATACGGTGACAGAGATAAGAGATAATTCCTGACAATCTCTGGCTTCCACGTGCATGTGCACATACATGCATGCACCCCCACATACACGCATGCATGTAAAAGACATGCAGACATACTCCTAGAAAACTAAAAAAAAGTTCATGTGGGCCCGGGCAGCTTCTCCGGCTGCTGCTTCCCGGAGACCCTCTGCTGAGCTCTGACAGGCAAGCGAGTGCACAAGCCCCCTCAGCCTGAAAATAAAGAACCCAGTCTCACCCCATTTCATACTGCCTCCTACCCACTGAGTGTATTTAAGGGGACCAAGAGATGAACCCTCACAATTCCCTCCTTCGTATAAGGGAGGGGCAAACCCCTTCCATCCTCTTTCTCCTTCCATGCCCAAAAACACTCATTAACCTCTTGACCGTTTCGAGGAGAAGGGATAATCGGCATAAGAGGCCCAGCTGTTGATTAATTTTCCCAAACACAGCCCGACTACAAAGCAGCATATTGCAGAGGAGAAAAAGCCAACAAACAACATTTGAACAAATTTCATAGAAGACATAAGTCATTAGGCACCGGGGTTGGAGTATCTCAGCGAGGCAGGCAGAAGGAGAGGTTTTGGCCTATCGGGAGCAGCAATGAGGGTTCCGTGCCACCAGAAGCTCTCTCAGCTCGGGTTCAGGATGTTAACTACCCACTCTGCATCTATAATTAACAGGCCTGAGAGAGGAGGAAGTCCACAGCCCCCTCCCAGAGCAGAATGAAGAGGCCTGGTAGAGGGGTGAGCAGCCCGCTGTGGGAGCCGGGACCAGATCCTGTAGGTGGAAGTGCTCATTTGTCAGAACAGCAGAACACACGGGCACTGGTGCATCTGGGTCCAGACTTGGGCACATCCTTTGATGTCCTACTGTTCTTGGCAGTGAATGCACTGTGCCAACAGACAGGCAGAGTCAGCCGCCAGGGACAGCCTTGTTCCGTCACCCACAGCAACATGAGGAGGTCTCCCAGAGACCTCCACTCCAGAAAACTGGGGATTCTTGAGCACAGCAGAGCATTTCAGGGCCAGTCAGTGATAAGCAGGGGTGGAGTTTATTTCAGAAAAGGGTTCAGTATAGGATTAAGCATGAGCATGCTAGACAAGCTCTCTCTCTCTCTCTCTCTCTCTCTCTCTCTCTCTCTCTCTCTCTCCCAGCACACACACCTTGCTGTCCTTTTCACTTTTAGCTTCGATATAGGGTCCTATCAAGTTGTCCAGAGTGTCCTTGAACTCACTCTATAGTTCAGGCTGGCCTTGAATTTATAATCTTCCTGCCTCAGCCTCCCAAGTAGCCAGGATTACGGGCTTGTGTCACCAGGCCCAGATTCTCCATTTTTTTCCCCTCTTAGGAATAAGTGAAAGTATTTGGAACATCGCTTGGCATAAGGTGGCCTTGCAGGAAATGGACCTCCTAGCCCCTAAGACTATGTACTTGGAATTTGACAGTTAAAGATGTGAGAAGGGGAATGAGGGACAAGCTCAAGGGGCTGACAGGAAAAGAGACAGGCGTTAGGGTTGGGCTTCTGCCCCCTGAGGACACATGCCTCCTCTATGGCCAGCCTGGCATGGTCCAGTTGCTGATAAACAGATCTCTCTGCTCTCGCTTCCTTCTGCTTAGATCCTAAGGGGCTTGCCATTTTCTCTGTAATTGTTATTATTTTTTACGTATGGGTGTTTTCCCTGAGTGTATGTCTATATACAACATGTGTGCCTGGTGCCCACTCTGACCAGGGTATCTACTGGATTCGCTGGAACTGAAGTTACAGATGGCTGTGAGTGTCCTCTGCAAGAGCAGTCAGTACTCGCGAGCTGGAACCACATCTTCAAGCTTGTGTCATATTCTTTTTATAAGATGTTTCCACAAATACTAAAGCTTGTATTAGGCTTAGTTATTTATTTTGTGGGACTAGGGGAGAGGATCAAACCCAGACTTGCACACTCTAAACAAATGTTCTGCCACTGGGTCAGCTCCCCATCCCTTATTAATTTTTTTTTAACTAAAGCGTTTTTAAAAATTATCTTTATTGCCAAGTGGTGGTGTTGGTAGTGGTGGCACACACCTTTAATCCCAGCACTTGGAGACAGAGGTAGGTAGATCTCTGAGTTCAAGGACAGCCTGAGTTCAAGAGCAAGTTCCAAGTTCCAGGACAGCCAGGAAAAAAATCTTGCCTCAAAAAGAAATTTATTTTTGCTAATGTGTATGGGTAGCCGTGTGTCTGTGAATGTGTGCCACGTGTGTGCAGGTGCTGTGGGGGCCAGAAGAGGTCATCAGATCCCTTGGAGCTGGAGTTACAGGGGGTTGATATGTTTGGTGTGGGTCCTTTGGAAGAGCCAAGCATGTTTAACTACTAAGCCATCTCCCCGGCCCCCTTCGATAGCACTTGTTTGTTTTATTTCATTTTTTGAGATGGTGTTGGGTATCCACCAGGAAAGATTGCTCAGCCGTTCGTCTATGCCAACAGCAAGTCTTCATTAGCTGGGACAGTGACTACACGGGGTATTTGGGATCCTAGTACAACACCTAGTCTTTCTCAGGGTGATCTTTTAAACACACACATGTTCTGGGTTGACATACTTCAGGTAACAAGAAGTGTGAGCCAGAAGTGAAACTGCAAAAGCCAAAAACGAGGTTGGCAGATTTAGAGACTTTCCCAGAACTGTGGACTTTGGTGGACGAGGTCTTGCTGTGGTAATGCTGGCTGTGTGCTGTTTTAGGACCTGCATTAGTACTTGCATTGAGTCAGTCGTGCTAAAGTCTGGGCCCTGTTACAAATACACAAACAGGGTCTCTTGCTGGCCTTGAACTCAATCTACAGTTGAGGATAACCTTGAACTTCTAATCCTCCTGTCTCCACCTCCTGAGTGCTGAATTCCAAGTGTGTACCACCATGCCCACTCTATGCAGTGCTGGGGATCGAACCTGAGGCCTGACGCACTCTACAGGGTACACAGTACCAAATAAGCTACGCACCCAACTTGTCTCCCAGGCCCCTTTAAACTTGTTCGCTCCTGAACACCCCAACCTGTACTGCTGTGCTGTCTTGCCCACATCAAGCTCCATCCTGGGCAGCCTTCATTCCCATCACCGCACCCCCACAGACTCAGAAGTCCCTGCTCCCAGCATGTCCCCTCTATCTTGCCCCCTTTAACTCCCTCCCACCCCCCTGACCCAGTAGCTACCATCACTGCCAGTACCCCCTGTATCACCCACATCTGTCCCTGGGGCTAGAAATCAGTGGCCCTTTGCCGAGCCTCTTTGTAGAACTTGGGCCTGGACAGCCAGCTCTCATGGGAGTCATGCCATTCTTGAACAGCAGATAGCTCGTGACTGACGAAAATGTAAGGCCCCCCCACAGGTAATTCTCTGGGTGCTCTCATCTCCTGAGCTTCCTGACCACTAGAGGCCATCCTTGTAGTGGCTCTCTGGTCACCTTCTGCCTGCCTAGTCATCTTTCCTGACCCCTTAGGGTTATCTTAGATCAGTATCCCCATGCCCCAAAATAGTCCCTGGAGAGTGGTTCATAGCTCCCAGTGACGTGATGAAGTAGCCAGCCTGGGGCTAAAGAGACCCTCCATTTTGAGTTCTATGACCTGGGCCGTCACATGACTTTCTCATGTCTTTGCTGTGTCATGGGAAGAATAGGCAGCAAAAGTTTGTGTCTCTGGGATGTGGTGAGAATTAATAGAGATGAAACACACTCGTGTGGGGTCCCAAGAGAGTACTAGTAAGCCATTGTCAGTGCCATCCACTTCCCTGAGGCACCAGCAAATGGGGACGGACTGTCTCTCTGTACATCAAGCTGGTGAGAATTAAAACAGACTGAAACCTTACACTGCACTGGCCAGTAAGCTCAGCAAGCTGGAAGTGGAGGCAGAAGGTTCAAAAGTTCAAGGTCATCCTCCGCTACACAGGGAGTGTGAGGCTAGCCTGTAATACAAGAGACACTGTCACACCCCACCCTCACTCCTCCCACTCCCCACCCCCTCAGCCCCCCACAATTCAACTGATGGGAGGTACCAGGATTGCTGTGAGCTAAAGCAGACTCCCAGGGTCTCATTCCCCCAGGGAATTCCCTGGTGTGCCGCCTGTGTCTCTCCCCCTCCCCTTGGCTTCTCCTTGAGTTCAAGCAGCCGGTGGCCTCCAGCTCACAGTCTGCAGTACCTCCTGGGGGCTCTAAGGAAGGATCGGTTTCCCGCTTGCTCACTTGCAGTTGGCAGAATCTGGTTTCTGACTGGAGGATCAAGGTCTCCATTATCTTGGGGGCTATACAAGGCTCAGCCTAGAGGCCACCATCTTCATTGTCTGTGGGTTCCCTTCTGCCATCTTCAAAGTCATCAGCCAAGTGGGGGATTTAGGTTATGTGTCTCTGATTTACCCTCTCTAATCACTTGATTTTAAGGACCCACCTCCATGACCCACGTTAGTTTCCCTGTCTCAAGGTCCTCTGTTACATCTGCAAAGTTCCCTTTTGCCATATAACAGAAGGGGCCAGGTGTGGTGCCTTTAATTCCCTCATCCCTCTTCTGCAGAGGCGAGCAGACCTCTGTGAGTTTGAGGGAAAACAGGGTTTGAGACTGTCTTGGAGGGAAGATGGGTGCTGGGGAATGAAAGCACGGGCTTGGGGGGGACATTACACTGCCTGCAAAGCTGCTCAGAGTGGGGGCTCCTCATCTCACACCCAGGCCCTCTTTGTGCAGGGAGAGGTGTGTGCGGTTCCCTGCCCTGCGGGGACCTATGGTCCCAACTGCTCATCTGTATGTAGCTGCAGCAATGGCGGCACCTGTTCCCCTGTGGATGGCTCCTGCACCTGTCAAGAGGGTAAGTTTTCTCCAGCTCAGTTCCCATGCTCACATGTGCCAACAGCTTGGGGTCTCAGGTGGGGCTACTCAAGCCCACCCGGCACCCAGGGCCAAAGAGTCTGCACAGTCCAGCCAAGGAGAACCACAGCCAGAACCAGAGCGGGCATGTGGGAGGTGACAGGGTTCTCTGAACCTGGACAAAGACTCACCTGGTGTGAGCTAACAGGTCTCTGTGGAGGCCTGGCCACCAGCAGAGGCCTGACGTATGCCAGGTTGTGTTGGCAGACACCCGTGGTCCTGGAACTTGGGATGCAGAAGTAGGAGACCCTAGTTCTGATGATCCTGGGCTACATAGGGAAGAGCTTCCTAAAACAATAACAAACACCTAAGGAAGGTCTAGCGGGGAGGAAAGGGGGGCTCCTGCCTCCTTCCCATTCTGCTCCCTCAGGAAGCCTGTCTGAAGGCTGCAGCCAGAAGGCCTGTAATCCTCAGGGTAGCCTCCTGGTTGAGGGAACAGAGGAGGTGGAGGTTCAGTCCTGGGGGCAGGAGCAGTGATAGGCTTTAGAATGGAGATGTGCTGCTGAAACCCCAGCCCTGGCCTAGGGGAACAGCACCACCAAAGCTGGTCCCTGTCCCAGGGGGCCCATCTGCACACAGCAGAAATGGTGTAAACCCCTGTTACAGGGATGGAGAATTAGGCTACTGTGCTGACAGTGAACGGAGCCTCTGGTGCTGGGGAAGTGAACAGGAAGTTATGCTGGGCACGGCGGACTGACACCCTCCGCCCTCTCCACAGGGTGGCAGGGCCTGGACTGCTCCCTGCCTTGTCCCAGTGGGACCTGGGGCCTGAATTGCAATGAGAGCTGCGTCTGTGCCAACGGGGCAGCCTGCAGCCCCTCTGACGGCTCCTGTGCCTGTACCCCAGGCTGGCTGGGGGACTCCTGCGAACTGCCCTGCCCAGTGAGTACCTCCCTTGGTCCCTTGTGCCTTCTGCTCCCTGTGGAGGTATGTGGTCCAGAGAAGAGCTCTGAGGCAGGAAGTAATAACCTCTTTGTGGCCTCCTTCTACCCTGGGCCCCAACCCTCCCATCTGTAGAATGGCCACGTGGGCAGAAGTGCTTTTGGTAAGTGCCATTGCTGCTCTTGGTGAGCAGACTGACTGGCAGTTATAAAGTCAAGCCCAGCAGAGTGGCTATTTCTGGGTAGTCGGGTCACTGTAACCGCTAAGGACAGAGCATGGAATCAAGTCATTCAGCAGCAAGCCCGACTCTTCAAGCACTGAGCATTAGGCTGCTAAACCACTGATGTGAGACTCAATATGGGCTCTGAGTTCAAATCCTGACTTTACCACATCCTGCCTCTTTGAGCGTGTTTCTCTAGCTGCTTCCCATTTTTAAAGAGGGAATAGGAGGAGCCATTCCAGAATCTTGGTGTGAGAATTAGGAGACTAGGGCAGACTGAGCACTTGAGACCTTGTGAGCATGTAAGAAATGAGGTTCCCATTTCCTTCCCCAGTGACAAAAACAGGCTATCCTCATTCCTTGTGTGTCACAAGGTGTACCACAAGTAACAAAGCATGTTATGTTTTGTTTTGTGAGATAGGCTCTCACACTCAACCCAGGCTGGTCCCGAGCTCATGGCAATTCTTCTGCCTCCACCTTCCAACTGCTGGGGTTACAGGCAATTTCTCCCTATCATGCCTGTCAAAAGCAACGTGCGCTTTAGTCTACAATTTTAATGACTACCTGGAGGCTATGTTGAAAGACAGAGCAGGCCCTCATCCCCCTCTCCTGTCCCTATTAATATGGCCAGATGATTGCTTGGGGAGACTTCATAGCCTGTGGTACCCAGTTACAAAGCACCATGGCTGTGCCCAATCCAGTCTCTGGGTTCTCGAGGAGCGGACAGACGTGTGTGACCCTCTAGGAGCCTGGGTTGATGGTTTTCCCTCCCTCTTCCCCACAGGATGGCACTTTCGGACTGAACTGCAGTGAACACTGTGATTGCAGCCATGCCGATGGCTGTGACCCTATCACAGGCCACTGCTGCTGCCTGGCAGGATGGACAGGTAACTGGTGCCCTGCCACTCACTGCCCAGGCCCTGCGAAGCCAGGCCCTTGGTTTTCCCTCCCTTCTCATGACTGTTCATCTCCTGTCGTTTTCTTCTCCACTTCATCTGCTCCCTTTCAGCCCGGGAAGGAGATGTTCATTAAAGACATATGTTGAAGCTCTGTTCTCAGGACAACACACCTCAGGGCTGACAGGTGCTCAGCCTGTGCACAGCGAACATGGCACTTCAGAAACTCAGTCCTTACATCTACCCATAGCCTCCCTCCCGCACTCGGACAAACCCTGCCACTTCTCTCCAGTCCATGGGTGCTACAGGACCACCTCTTATCTGGCCCACCTCCACCTCCTGGTCCATCTCATGCCCTCCATCCGCCCAGGTGAATCCACTCTGCACATGGTGACCAGTGGGAACCTCAGTTCCATGGCTCGATGGGACTCAGGTAGAATGTAAGGCCCTAGCCAGAGCCGGTAGTGCACTCAGGAGAGTCAGAAGTTCAAGGTCATCCTTGGCTACATTGCAAGTTTAAGGCTAGCCTGGGCTACCTGAGACCTTGTCTTGGAAAAAAACAAAAACTGTAACAACAACAACAAAAGTCAGAATTCTTGTCATAAGAATTCTGTGATGTGGGTCTGCCCAGTTCTTCTCTTCTGCCCTAGTTCTGTCACCCAATAATTCCAGATACTTCGGCCAAAGTTAACTATATTTACTTTTATTGAGGATAGATCACATTGTGTAGATGTGTCTAGCCTGGAACTTACTATTTATCCCAGTCTGGCTTTGAACTCCGTGAATTTCCTCCTGCCTCAGCCTTCCAAGTGTTGGGATTGGTTTTATAGGCATGTACCACCATGCCATCTCCTCCCTCCCCTTGACAGCTCTGTCTTAGCAACAAATCCCTTTTCTCTTCTTCATTTAAGGAGCCGGGCACGTGTTCTATCGGGGGTCATACCCCCAGCCCTGATAAGGCCTTCCCATATGCCAGGTTTCAAGCTGAAGGTTGTGTGTGCACTGCCCACCTGGGACCGAAGAGCCCCACTTAGGCATCCTGGTGACCTACACCCTTCCTCTGTAGCGCTCACCACAACTGGCCTTGGACTTTGTTTGGGTGCCGGGTTCTCTAGTGGTCCTAGGTAGAAATCTGCCTTACTCACCCCTGTACCTGCTGTCTGCCACAGCTAAGAAAAGGAAACCAGGTAACTGAGAACAGAGCTCCAGCCAGATCGCCAGGGCTTGTGAATTTGCACAAGTCCTTTACCTCACATGGCCTGAAGCCTCCGTCCACAATGCACAGACAATGGAAGCCTTGCAAGGAACCTTGGGCCCACTCTAAGTTTCAGAGAAGGGCACTGTTAAGAGCTCAGCCCCTGACACAGTGGTCAGTGACAGAAAGCTGCAGGGAGCTGTCAGCAGCCATGCGTGTGTCAGTGACCACTGGCTGATCCCACCGGTTTCCAGCTGTGGAAATTCGCAATATTCATTCTGTAGGACTCTCCCCACCTTTATGCTGAGAGCTGAAGGCCGGGGACACTCCTCTACAGCAATAGTTCTCAACCTTCCTAATGCTGCAACCTTTCTAAAGGCTGGCATGTGCCACCATGCCCGGCTGCTGCAACCCTTTAATACAGGTCCTCATTGTGGTGACCCCAAACATAAAATTATTTTTGTTGCTACTTCATAACTAATTTTGCTACTATTATGAATCATAGAAACCTGTATTTTCCAATGGTCTTCAGTGACCCCTGTGAAAGGGTTGTTTGAACCCCCAAAAGGTGGTGACCCACAGGTTGAGGTCCACTGCTCTATAGCGTATCAGATTGCAGTCCCCTACCCTGCCAGCTATCCTGCAGTGAGAACCAAGACCCCCGCTGTGAACCAGCCTTCTCACTGTCCCCTACACTGTCAGCTACAGCCTTAAGTTTTCATTGCTTTAATTTTGATAGAGCTGATCTCATTTTAATGACATCCACTTTAATGACAATGCTTAAAAATCCTGGCTTTTATAGACAACTTAGCAAGGCCTCTGCTGGTTCCAAAGCCCATTTCTCCAAAGGTGGTTCTAAAGGCTTCTCAAACAGGTGATTGATGTTCTAAGATTTGTCATGCAGAGGGAGGCCAGGAAGACAGGGAGGATGAGAGACAGAACCTGGGCCTCCCATACAGTGAGACCCCTTCTTCTTCCTCCCCAGAAAACCCTGCTCACCTCTCCATCTGGCTTGGGCTTATCCTCTGGCCTCTCATGTCAGTTAGCATCATGTCTTATTTACCTTGCTCTGAACATAATAGGTGCTCACAGAATGCTTCTTGAAGTCCATTGGAAAACCTCAGCCTGTGTGACCACACATGGAAAGCTTAGAGGTGATTTGCTCTGGCTCTTATACCAGAGCTGAGGCGCTATCAGGACATTAGTGTCGACATAGGGGAGGCCCAGGCCACATTTTTGGGAGAGGGCATTCACTTAATGGGTAAGTCACCTGTTTGTGTGCTTTTGAGACAGGATCTCCCGTAGCCCAGGTTGTCTCAAATGTGCTATGTAGCTAAGGATGGCTTTGATCTCCTGAATCTGCAGTATTACAAAGACGCCCCAGGTGGTGCCTCTGCTGTGAGGAGGCAGGTCAGCAGGCACGGATTTCATGAAGCCATTGCCCTCTTTTTCACATCCCTGGCGGGGGGTGGGGGGGGTGGTAGGAGCCAGGTGTATGAAGGAAACAGCTGTAACAGGTAGGTTCAGATGTTTACACCCCTGGGCAGACAGGCAGGAAGGCTTCCAGAGAAAGGCTTGCTGCTGTGTGATTGCTGGCTCTTAGTATGGGTTCCTCAGTCTACCCATTAGTACATGGGGGAGGGTGTCCTGAGAACTGAGGCTGGGGTGCTCATCTTCCAGGTAGAAACGGGAAGGACTTTTGAGCTTGTTTCCATTTTCCAGAGAGAGAGAGAGAGAGAGAGAGAGAGAGAATGAACGTGAAATATACACGCATGCGTATATGAGCTCATGTGGAGAGGATGCGTGTGTATGCACACGCGCATAGAGGCCTGAGGCTGCTGTCTGCGTCCTCCTCACTTCCTCCTCCACTGTCCTCACTGACAGGGTCTCTTGGTCACATGAGAGCTCACCCATGTGACTAGTCTCACTAGTCAGCTTGCTCGGGAAATCGAGTCTCCACTTTCTGAAGCTGGAACAAATGAGACGGTTGTGGCTGTCATGGGGGTGCTGGGAATCACACCTGGATGCTCTTAACCTCTGAATCACCTCTCCAGCCCTCCACTGCATTCTGCACCATACGTGGTCTCCACGTGATAGGAAGGACGTGGGGAACACCATACCTTGGTTGGTAGAATGCTTACCTGCCATACAAAGAGCTCTGGGTTTCATTTGTTTTGTTTGTTTTTGTTTTTTTGAGACAGGGTTTCTCTGTGTAGCCTTGGCTATCCTGGAACTCGATCTATAGACCAGACTGAGCTCAAACTCATAGAGATCTGCCTGCTTCTGCCTCTCCAGTGCTGGGATTAAAGCATGCGCCACCACCGACCGACAGGCAAGGTAGCCAAATCTTTAAGTAGTGTCCTGACCCCCTTACCCAAGCTCCAGTCAATCTATAATCGCCTCCTATTTCCCGATTTGCCTCTCAACCCCCTGAAACTCCACAGGAGAGACTGTATCAGCAAGGGAGCTGGGGGGGGAGCGATGCACTTGTCACATTCTTGTGGACAAGTGAGAGTGGACAAGCTCTCCCTGGGGAGAAGGTACTACCCATTTCTCGGGGAGTAACACCTGAAGCCCCATACCCTCAACCTCCAGCACAAGAAGGGAGCACATCCCTGGCATCCAATGGAGTGGCCAGCAGCACCCCTCCCCGGCTCCCTACCCTAGCTGCCCACCCGTGTCCCCTCCCTCTCCTGCAGGTGGGCCTGCAGAGTCGAACCTCCTCCAAATTGGTCCCTCTGCAGTCCTTCAGACAGGGTCTTCTTCCCTCTGTGTTTCGCTTTCTCACAGTCCCTCTCCCTGTAACAAGGCAGACATGACTTTTAAACTAATCCTGTGCTGCCTGGAGTCTCTGAAGCTCGCCTTCCAAAGACCGGCTGGTCTCCTGGGCCTGGTCCAATCACCTAGCGCACACATGCCAGACTGGAGGCTGCTCTGCCTGGAAGGAACCCCCACCCTGGCTTTTTAAAATTCCTTCTTAGCCTCCAAGCTGAAGTCATCTCAGCTAAATATTCTTTGAGCTCAGGGGGCCTGTAGATCTTGCTCCCTCTTTTATTGACATATTCCATCCATTTCCCCATAGGCTGCTGTTTGTCACACTGAGAGTCGTTTATCAGCATGTTTGGGGTACAGCTAGCATTTTTGGTTTCTTTTATACATGTGTATATATGGGATATAAAGTATGTATTATATGTATGTGTGTGTGTGTGTATATATAGAGAAAGAGAGGGAGGGGGGGAGAGGGAGGGAGAGAGGGTGGGAGGAAGGGAGAGAGGATAAATGAATGTGTAAGTATGATACACTGGTATTACCTGTGCCACAGTGGCGGTCAAAGGGCAACTCCTACTTCTACGTGGATTTCAGGGATAGCTTAGGTCACCAGGCTTTTGCACCAAGTTCTGTTACTGAGATAAGCCTCTCACTGGCCCAACATGCTCTTGATGGCAGCTCAGCTATGAAGGTGGAGGCACCCTTCCTCGTCAGGTGCCACCATCTCCTCTCTAGCTGGGTTCGTCAAGCCTGTTACAGATCTGTCCTTGTACTGTGTTCAATTCTAACCTATACTGCCTTCTTTTGTCAATTGCTCTCTGTTCTTTGCTTGGGCAGTTCCTTTGTCTTTGAGGACTCTGGAAGGGCATCACCTCCCGCTAGAAGCCCTCCCCACCAGCCCCACCTCTGCTGGTTCTCCTCCATCTTCCTCCTGCCCTCACCCCTTCCCACTGACCTGCCTCTGTGTCTGGTCCACAGGCATCCGCTGTGACAGCACATGTCCTCCAGGTCGCTGGGGTCCCAACTGCTCAGTGTCCTGCAGCTGTGAGAATGGAGGTTCCTGTTCTCCAGAGGACGGAAGCTGCGAGTGTGCCCCTGGCTTCCGAGGACCCTTATGTCAGAGAAGTAAGGCTAGGCCCCCGCCCCAAGGACTTCTGACTTCCCATCTACCCTACCCCTCCTAGTCAGAAGTAATGCTGGCCTGTGGAGGGCTGCCTACAGGAGCCAGGCCATTCTTTTCACTCTATTTTGTGCCTTCCTTCCCTGTACTGGCTATTCTGTCCCCAAGTCCACAGCCCAGCTTCTCAGTACAATCAGGACAAGCCCACAGTTCCTCTCTTCAATAGGGATGAGCCTCCAGGTGTGAGGAGCCCCCATTTTCAAGGAGCCTCTTCGCTGGGATGGGGGACCAGAGAAGTGGCTAAGCCAGCTGCTCCTACAAGCTTCTGACCAACATCTCCCCTCCAACACCCTCAGTCTGCCCACCAGGGTTCTACGGCCATGGCTGCGCCCAGCCTTGTCCTCTCTGCGTGCACAGCAGCGGGCCCTGCCACCACATCAGTGGCATCTGTGAGTGCCTGCCAGGATTCTCTGGAGCCTTGTGCAACCAAGGTACCCCCAACTGGTGGAGCGGCCAGGGCAGGGAACAAAGGGGCAGAAAGAAGGAAGGGTTCAGGAATTTCTCTTCCTATGTTGTTGGGAACTGAATAGCATGTATATGGAATGAGAAGAAAAAAAAAATCACTGCTGCTGAAAGGACAAGCTCAAAGAGGTTAAATGCCATGTCTGTGGTCTCACAGCTAGCAAGTGGCAGAAATGAATACAGACTCCAATATTCTGCTAAAAAAAAAAATGAGAATATAGCTGGGTGTAGTGGCACATGCCTTTAATCCTAGCACCCAGGGAGGCAGAGGCAGGTGGATCTCTGTGAGTTCAAGGCCAGCCTGGTCTACAGAGTGAGTCCAGGACAGCCAAAGCTACACACACACACCCTGTCTCAAAAAAAAAAAAAAAAAAGAAAAGAAAAGAAAGAATTTGGGAGGCTGAGACAGAGGATTACATGGATTACATGTTCAAGGCCAGCCTGGGCTACTTAACAAGATTCTTTAAAAAAACCAAAACCAGGCCTGAGGAGGTAGTTCAGCTGGTAGAGTGCTTGTCTAGAGAGCATGTGGCCTTGAGTGTGTCCCCAGCACTGCATAGCCCAGGAGTGGTGTCATATAGCCAGAGCCCAGCACTCAGGAAGGAAAAGAAGATAGAGAAGTTCAAGGTCTTCTTCAGCTACACGGAGTAGAGAGAGAGTTAACCTGGGCTACACGAGACTGTCTCAAAATAAGTATATGAATAAGTAAAGTATAAGTATATGTATAAGTAAATGAATAAAACGTGGGAACATGAAATGAACATAAGTACCTTGGGAGTGGCATTGAGCTAGGGCTGTGTGGGATGCCGGGCAGTAAAGGAAGATGGCCACGGCCCAGCCTGCCATCAGCTCCGCCCCCTCAGGTCAACAGCAGTAATTGCTGCCACACACACTTCTCAGCTTACGCCCGGAACCCTCCCCAGCAACAACTTCAGGCCTCCAGGCGCTGCACAGGCCATGCTCAGGGGGCAACGAAGCTTGCTGTAGTGTGCTCCCCCAACCAGCTAGTTTTTTGGGGTAAACATCTGCCTTGAGGTAGTTGCATGGTCCTCTGCTATGACATCAACACTATGGGCAAAAATCATTCGCTCCCTCTCCATTAGGTACCATGGGAAGATAAGGGCGGGCCCCAGCTCATGCCACCCACTGCTCCACGGGTGGCTCCTTAAGCCTAGGTCAGTGTGATGCTCAGGGATGGTCCAGGGATTCTGCAGGCTGGAGAAAATAAGCTGGGCATGCTAATATAGAGCAGCATGGAATGGACAGAGGATGCAGCAACTAAGGATGGGGACAGGGCTGGAAGGCAGATGAGGGATTCCTTCGAATGCTTTAGAGTGTGGCCTGGCTTGGATACCAACTGGTCCATAAGAGTGAAGGGATTTTTAGAATAAGGTGAACTAAGAGCTAAAGGCAACTTCAAAGTCACCAAAGCAAGAATCTCCACTGGCCTGTGCTTAAATACCTCTCCTAAAGAAGAGCTCACTACTTCCAGGGCAGCCCATTCTTTTGGTATGTCATAGCAGCCGAGCTGGGCTATTTTTAATATGCATGACTAGAGATGTTTGACTCTATGATGCGCTGAGGTCATGAGAAGCTTGGGCCCCTGGGAAACATATGTGACAGTTTCATTTGCTTCCAGCCCTCTTAGGATGGTTTAATCACCACCTGACAGGCTGAGGTTTATTTATTAAACATAGGAGACCCAGCTGTCAATAGAACCAGGCCCAGTCTAAATTAGGAGCTATGAAGCCCAAGAAGGAACCCTCACAGCCCAAGTCATCTGATTTATTGCCCACTGGCCTAATGAGTATTTTCCACATATAGATCTAATGGAGTCTGCTATTAATGGCAACTGCCCTGGTTAAGTCTCAAACCTTGTAAAAAATTGAACTGACACTTTCTAATGACTGGCTTTCCAGCAAGTTACAAATTACAGACAGTGCTCCCCCAGAATCATTAAACATAGATTAAATATAACCCAATGTTTTCTTTTCACCAGCCCCCTCCTCCCCTTCACATGCCTGGCTCTTGATTCAGCTAAGAAGTCTCACAATTAATGCATTAGACCAATCACATTAGGGGCTCTGCAGGTGAATTTGTATGCCTCGTGAAGGGGGAAGACTTCAAAGACAAGACTGCCTTGTTAGAGCAGTTCAGAGTTGTGGGGTGAAGGCTGGTAGAGCAGCTCCAGCCCTCTGCTCCCCACCAAGCTGGAGAGTCCTTTGGCTCAGTCAACAGAGAGGGTGCAAGATGGGGCTCAGAAGAAAGCATCTGCCAGAGGCATGGAGGAGGCGGGGCAATGTGCAGTTTAGGAGTTTGAAGAGAGAGCCTGAGCAGCAAACAGAAGGCCAGAGACTTGCCTGGGAATTCTTTCCCAGGCACAGAGCCCAGATCAGTCAGCCTACCTGTGGCTACTAACCAAGGCCTGAGGCTTGTGTCCCATCTTGATGAGGAAACATATCTAGGGGTTGAGGTGGAAAGCGAAGGCCTTTGTTAAAATGTCTGCAGCTAGGAAAACAGTAGAACTTCTTTACTGTGTAACTGGACAGACAGCTAACTCTTCCTATGTGTCAAGGGAATTCAGTGGTAGTGAGAGCAAAGATGAAGGCATTATCAAGATTAAGTGAACTTAATATTAGTATTTGTAAAACATTTTGACCAGTTTCTGGTGCATGTAAATACTATGTGTATTTGCTGAGTGCATAACAAAACTGGGACCTAAACCCAAAGCTTCAGGCAGAGTTGGGTCCACTTGCTTTTACCATCTGTCCCAACCACTAGCTATGTCCACAGAGGTATAGACTACACTTATATCCTCGCCACCGGGTGCCCACAGTCAGGCTGGGGAAGGGTTGTGTGGGAGACAAGGTAGAAGAAAGATGATGGCATCCTTGGTTTGAGACCAAGGGAAGCCACTTTCCTCCAAGAAATCAATACCTACCCCATGGGGGTCGGAGAGATGGCTCAGAAAGTGAACTACCCACTTTTTGCTGAGTTCACTTTCCAGTACCTATGTCAGGCAGCTTACAACTGCCTCTAACCTCACATCCAAAGGCTCTGATGTTCTCTTCTGGCCTGCACAGGCACCTGCTCACATGTGCACATATTTGCACACAGACACATTAAATAAATATTTTTTTTAAATAAAAATATTCCTGGTCCTCTGCTGATCATAGTAGAGCCTTCTAAATGGTTCCAACTCCTGAAGCCCACTTCCTCAGTGTTCACTGGTCAGGTACAGTAGAAGATGAGACCACATTTCCTGCCCTTGCAAAACTTAGGCCAGAGGACCTAGAAAAGAGAGAGAAGGCCCTAGTGGCTTGAGTGCCTGCTGCCTCTCCAGGCATTGTAGGGGACACCAGAAGGGCCAGGACTCAGGCTTGCCTGGCCTGAAACAACTGCCAAGTCTCAGTAACAGGCGAATTTGAGGAAGAAGCTACCTGAAGCCTCAAATAGGAACATAACCACACAGAAGAGAGATGGGTGGACCAGCTAGGACTAAGCCCAAATAAGTGGCTTGGAAATGATATACATTGTTTAATTTACATACTAAGAAAACCAAAAAAGATCCAAAGGTAGGCTGCTGGGGAACAGTAGGGTAGCTGACAAGGATGCCAGCCTTAAGGCTTGCTTCATCTTATTGTTCCAAGGGAGGTGACACTTAAGATGAGTCTTACAGGCAGGGAGGGCATCCACGGCTAGACTTACAGGTCAGGAGAATTTAGAAGGCACTAGCCAGAGCACAGAAGGGCCTGGAATGCCCTTAGAGGCGGTTGTGTGGTCCAGTAGCCTGTGTGTCTGGGAGAATAGTCAGGCTAACCCAGGGGAAAGCAGAAGGCTGGAAGGTAGCCTAGGAATGCTCAGCTCAGAGTCCAGAGATGCCATCCCCATCTTACCCCTTCCTACCTGTGAGACCCAAGACAGCTGACATCCCCTCTATGGGCCTCAGCCTGTTGCTGTCAAAGGAATCAGAAGAGGCACCTCTTGGGGTGCTGCGGTGGGAGCAGGAGCACTCTCTGAGATGGAGAAGGGCAATACCTGCCACTGTAGATGTTGGGTCCCATCCAGATCATGCCCAGGATGGTCATGGCTGGGGCCTAGGGAACTCTTGGGGTGCAGCTGTGTGGGTGGTGGCTCTTAGAGTATGGGAAAGAAGGCTGGTGCCAGGCTTCCCCTATGCCCACAGTGTGTGCTGGAGGGCACTTCGGGCAGGACTGTGCCCAGCTCTGCTCCTGTGCCAACAATGGGACCTGCAGCCCCATCGATGGTTCCTGTCAGTGTTTTCCTGGGTGGATTGGCAAGGACTGCTCACAGGGTAAGCTTCTGCCCCTGCAAGTGCTCTTCTCCCTGCCTTGGTCCTCCACCCACAGGGCTGAACTCTCCTGCACACAAGAACATCCACCCAAGACCCATTTATTTATTTGTATTATTTCTCTGTGTATGTGGTGTGTGTACCAGTGCCACAGCATGTTTGTGGAGGTGAGAGGCCAACTCTGTAGTGTTAGTTCCCTTCCAGGGATTGAACTCAGGTTCACCACAGGCTCGGGTGGCAAGTCCCTTTACCCACTGAGCCATGTCACTGTTCCCCTACCCTGAAAGTCCCATTTCGTTCTACAATGAACTTGATGAGTTACTGGGACTGACCACGGGTGTTGCTACTGCACGTATTAAAGGCATCAGTACTGTCAGTGCCATTAATGCTGTGAATCCTAAGAAATTCATACTCCATTAGCAGCATATGCATGTAGAAGCAGCAGCCTGAATATAGACAGGGAGGAGGGAACGAGGCTGGCATGCTGGAGTTTGTCGGTGGCAAGGCTAGGACAGCCACTTCTGGAAGAATCAAAGTACCCCGTGGGATGGCCCCTCTGAACAAAGTCCTGAGAATCCTAAGCCTGAACACAGTGCTACAGTCTGATACCAAGGCAGCAACCCCTTCCTAAAGGGAACCCAGGCTTCAGCCTATGACATTCCTTGTCTGATGGGTGAGAAATAGCCAGTACCTATAAGGAGGTCCCAGTTTAATAGCTAGACCTTGGGGATTCCATTCTGGGGGGAGCCACAGGCTCATTCCTTAAACAGTACAGGAACCCAAAGAGACAGTCCCTGGCCCCTTGTGGAGAAGTCAGTGACCTTGATGTTACTCTACCCCTATCCCTGTAAAAGTCTCTAAATACGGAGGTGCAGGAGACCTTGGAGCAGGCTGCCTTAACTCACCTAAGACTAGCGTAGGTCTCATAGCAATCCTAGGGTATGAGGTCAAGAGGTGATCTGAGAGTCTGAGACTAGTGTATAAAGTCCCCTAAGGCCAAGTGGTGCCCTTCTGGGTCCATTTCGGTGTTCTGGCTCTGATGTATACCCGCCTCCCCTCCCTTTCCTCCTGCTTCTCTCTGCCCTGCCCTCCCCCTCTGCATCGCCCCACCCCCCACAGCCTGCCCACCTGGGTTCTGGGGCTCTGCCTGCTTCCATACATGCAGCTGCCACAACGGGGCGAGCTGCAGCGCCGAGGATGGGGCCTGCCACTGCACCCCTGGCTGGACTGGACTCTTCTGCACGCAGCGTAAGCCCTGCCTCCCAGCCTCCTAGCCACTCCCAGTCATATGCTGCAGCCTACTGGCCATTTTTCGAATAGTCCTGGCTTGCAGAGAGGGAGGGAAGAGGCTGGTTCCGGGACCAGCCACACATCAGAATTATCCAAAGTTCTGAAAGGCTATACGGTATTCCAGCAATCAACAAAAATCAGACCCTAGGACCATGGGGAAGAAATCCCAGGGCTGCACACCAAAGAGCCCAGAGCTTGTCCTCTGCTGCTGAGGCCCTAGTTGCATGGTTCACCTTGCCCCTACCCTTCACCCCTTTAGCCTGAGGCTCAGTGGGTATAGATGGCTCTGCGGGCCTCAGTAGCCTTTATCCCATGCTGCAGAGGACGCAGAAGACAAGCCTGGTCGCAGCAACATCTCTGCGGTTCCCCTGAGGCCAAAGCAACTGTGACCTGTGGTCTTATTGCAGGGTGCCCCACAGCGTTTTTTGGGAAGGATTGTGGGCACATATGCCAGTGTCAGAACGGAGCCAGCTGTGACCACATCACTGGGAAATGCACCTGTCGAACAGGCTTCACTGGGCGCCACTGTGAACAGAGTAAGCTGCCCCAACCCTGTTCCTGGCATTTAGGCTGGGCTTCTGCCTATTGTGGGGAAAACTGCCTCCTTCAACCCCTACCCCATCCCCAATCCAGGGCATTGTGGCTCCTGTACTCCAGATTTAGAGGACAACTTACCTCTCTCCACTTTAGATAAGCAGGAGTGTAATGGGCAGAGCAAGGAGGGACCAGAGGAAGGCAGGATTTTCTGGCTCTTTAGAGTTCAGGAGGTAGAGCAGGTGAGGCCTGCCTTCTTCTGCGCCTACGTGCTCTGACTCAGGGTGATGTGCCCTTCCCATCCCCAGCTACCTATACATAATGGGCACTCCAGTTCAACAGACTTCACTGTGGGTGGGACAGAACCATCCTGCTGCCAGGAGCTTCCCCACTCGGAGTGGGAGGGGTGGAGTGTGGTTGTGTCTTACTACTTGCACTCTGCATGCCATACAGGATGTGCCCCAGGAACGTTTGGATATGGGTGTCAGCAGCTCTGTGAGTGCATGAACAATGCCACTTGTGACCATGTCACTGGTACCTGTTACTGCAGTCCTGGATTCAAAGGAATCAGATGTGACCAAGGTAACATACAGGTGTTAATGTCTGGACAGGGGTAGAAAGGGCCCCATAATTGGTGGCTTCAGAGTTCTGACCAGACCAGTTGGGTTTTATGACACTACTTTTTATTCATAGTTGGGAGCCTCAGTTCACAGCTTCTCTGGGAACTTCCCTATGAGCTAGAGAAGGGTGAATCACAAGCTAGTACTGGGAAAGGCCACCAACCGAGCTATGTTGGAACATTTGCCAAGTTTGACTTCTGCCACTCCCTTCTGGGTGTCTCTGGGCAGATCATTTCCTTTGCTAGGCCTTTCACTCCACATTCAATTGAGTAGATGTTAACCTTTGTCCAAAGGGCTCAAATTGACTCTAGCTGTATACCTAGGTGGCAGCCCATGGGACAGCTGAGGGGATCAAATTGAGGCAATTCAAGAAAGGCCTTAGCACAGTGCCAGGCATGTCTGAGCACTCTGTAAATAGCTTCTCATGTGAGATCCTGTGCAGACTTGGGAGGCTTTTGTTGGTTCTAGAAGAGGGGAGAAGACAGCTCTGAATTACCTGCATTAGACCTTACTTTGCAGTGTGAAGTTAAGTCGCTGAGGGAAATGCAGCATTTGCCTCCGTGGTGATAGGCAGCTCTCTTCAGCCAGCAGCAGAGCCAGGGAGAAGTCCAGCTGCTGCCCAGCTAGAGAACAAACCTTCACCAGGGCAGCCATAGAGGGACCTAACCACACATGTATAATCAAGAGGTGTCTTGGGGCAGTAACAGGCAGTCACTAATAGGCAGTCCCAGAGCTTCCAGCTGTCAAGGCCAGTCTATCATTTGGTGCTTAGGACTCCCTGGGGAAGCTGAAGTTATTGTCCGGATGGATGTTCTATATCACATAGTTGGTAAAGCAAGAGGAGTAGCTAAAGCCAGTTTTTCCTGACTGAATTACCGGTTGGGCGAATCTACAAGTCACCTAACCTTGGTGACTCAGTTTATTTATTTTTTCAACCATGTAGAAAGGGTGAATAATTAGTTCCCTTTTTGTAGGTCTACCCACGATAAAGCAAGTGACTTTAATTCATGTATGGATCTGAGTAAAAATGTCCTGTAAGCATTTATTTTGCTTCACACCTAAACCACATTTTCTTTGTATAACCCTGGGACTTGATCCCCTTTCTGGAATTAGAAAACTGTGAGTGTTGGAATTAGGCAGGGATGAAGGAGCAAAGTCAGGATGGAAGCATACTGGGGTCAGGCCTACCTCTGACTCAGGTCTGCCTTTGCCCTCAGCTGCCCTCATGATGGACGAGCTGAATCCCTACACCAAGATCAGTCCAGCTTTGGGAGCAGAGCGGCACTCAGTGGGTGCTGTCACAGGCATCATCCTTCTGTTGTTCCTGGTTGTGGTGCTGCTGGGCCTTTTTGCCTGGCGACGGAGGCGACAGAAAGAGAAAGGCCGTGACCTGGCTCCCCGTGTCTCCTACACCCCAGCCATGAGGATGACCAGCACAGACTATTCTCTCTCAGGTCAGGCTATGACCCAGCATCTCTTCTTCACGCATACAACCCAGCAGGAAGCACGTGGTCTTCCCAGGAACATCCATATTCTTGGTTCAGCATGGGTGGTTATACCTGCAGACAATGGGGGTGAGAGAAGTCTGTGGCGCTCCCAGAGGGTGTTGCTTCCTGAAGCCCAAGCTCCTAGCAACTAGGGCTGGGTGCCACCCACTATTTTCCCAACCTCCTTACATGGCTGTGCCTATGGGAACATGCAAAGTAGTAGCTTTTCTAAGCAACCCAGAAAATGGTTCTCCAGTGTGAAGCCTGAGCACCTTGGCAAGCTGTGCCCTATCCACTTCTGCTTTCCCTGGGAGAGCCTAAGGCCATTCCCAAGGAGTGCCCAAGGAGGCTAGTGTCAAAGGTGGTGCCTCACTTAGGAGAAGTCTGCAAGTTTAAGAAGTGTCCCTCTGGCAGATGTGCCAGAGCCCTGTGTGCCCAGATATGGTATCCTGCGGTAGTCTGTGTGAAGCATGTATGGAACTGCACCAGATCCTTTCCCTCCTGGAAACTGGAACCTTAGTTTGGTTAGGTCTGCCCTGTTGAGAAGAGGGTAGTGACTTTCCAGTGGCTCATGGCTGACCTGTAGCCTCCTGTACCTTGTGCTTAATTTAAGAGCACCAGACCACATGTACCATTCCTGCAAAGTGGTGTCTTGCTGTGTGCCAGCTCTATGTCAGGAACAGGATAGACAGAGCTGACCCCAGTATAGATGTTGCCTTCAGGGACCTCCTGGCCACTCAGGTCCAGCCAAAGCCAATATCCTCTGGTGAAGGCCAAGGCCCATAGAGCTTTGTCCGTTTCCTTCTGTAATGACAATGAGCAGGAATGGCTGGTTTTTTCCAAGTCATGTAGAATCCTCAGAAGAACTGGGGTCAACAAGAATAGAGTTCTCTATGTACTTACTACTAGGATCTGACTATAAGGGGAAGCAATCCACCCAAAATAGCAACTCAAAGACATAAAGCTATCAGAGCCAGCATTCAACAGCTTCCAGCTGACCATGCCACCCCTATACTAGCAAGCCCAGTCTGTGAGCTGCACAGGGGGAGGGCATTAGTAAGAACAAAGCTGGTGGACTCTCTCTGCTTGCTTTAGGGCTAGTGGATGCCATGCAGTTTGGAGGATGTGGGGGATTAGCTGCCTCTTTGCAGGGGACACTCAAAAATGCCCAGCCCCAACATTAGTCTTGAGGTGTCTCAACCAAAGGCAGGTCTATGATGGAATATGGCTCCTTGTTCTCTTCCCAGATTTGTCTCAAAGTAGCAGCCATGCCCAGTGCTTTTCCAATGCCAGCTACCACGCACTGGCGTGCGGGGGCCCTGCCACCAGCCAGGCCAGCACTCTGGACAGGAACAGCCCCACCAAGGTACTGGGCCCCTGGCTCCCCAGCCCTCACCCACTCTCCTTTCCACTCAGCACTCCCATCTTCCCAGGAAGGAACTGCACCCCCACCTGGAGTAGATGTGGAAATTTTACATTAAGAGCAGTCCTAGGACTCATGGGACATGTGAACACTCTGAATCATGTAACAGGGAAAGAGTTTGTTGTATAGAGACAGCAAGCTCTATCCCATGCAACTACACCACACTGCCTACTCATTGGAACATACTTGCAACTTGTGTGTAGATAACTGGTACCAGAACATGGAGACATGCAGCCATCTTATCCCACACCTGTGTATACCATGTAGTCACTTTGGTCATGTACAAGTATATATACTCAAAACATGTGCTTATCACAGATTACTGCAGTGTAGTAAAGCAATATACTGTGAAGTAACTCATTATTCAATTAACTCTTACACTTTGGCATAAAGGCCATCAATGCATACATCCGATGAGAAGCCAAACACTGCAGTTAGTGCTCTTGCTGAAAGGCTATGGACTAGTTGTGTGGCCTCCCTGACGGCTCCAAGCATAGCACTGGGTCACAGAATAGGTAGATGTCCTTAGTCACAAATATTACACACTTTAAAGATGTCTCAACACATATGAGTGTACAGAGCATGTAGCGCATCCCTTGATGGACCAGTAAGAGACAGAGTGAGAGACAGACATGAACAGCGCCATGTATAAGGTTTGTGAGGAGTTCCTGCTATACATACTTCTCTAACACCCACCTAAGCATGTGCCACACACATGTACCAGGATAGCAGGACCATTTAGGGAATGACAATTCCGGGTACCTGGCTTCCAGTATCATCCATCTATCCTGGACCAGGAGCACAGTTTTTATATTTTAGGCCTCTTCCCTGAAGCTCTAAGAATACCTTCCTCTCCATCTGTTCCCTGAAGAATGACCACCAGCCCACAGACCTAACGCTGCTTTTCTATCAAACATGCAGGTTGCATGCAGGGCACCTAGAGGCCCAATAGCTTTGACCACTCTGCTTGCCATCTTCCACTCAAGAATATTGTTTCCAGGCTCAATTCAGCTTTAAGCCTAAGGAGCTGAGAGTAGAGAATTTAGTTGCCCAGCAGGCAGCTCCTACAGCCATGTTATTAAAGCTGCAGCAGGTTAGAGGCAGCAGCCAGGGATGAGACAAAGGTTCCAGGCCATGTCACTATTTGTCTAAAAGCCATTCTTTCAGTAGAAGATTGGAGTTACTGCAGAGGAGGCCAATTGGTCACCCTCTGGTTTGGCTCCCCTCACAGGGGCTGAGACTGGCCCTAGGCAGATAGAGCATTTGCAGCAAAGGTGAGCATGATGTCATGGAAGGGACAGGCAGCTGAGATCTGAGTTCTAGAGCCAGCTTCGCCTCTGGCTCCTCTGTACCTATGAGTATGATCCCATGTCTAAAATAACATCCTTGCCTCACATAAAGGACAGCTCTGAGAATGCAGGGAGAGGATGGAATCATCAGTCTCATGACTGGAACTTTCTCTTAGTCACATGAAAGAGACTCTCCCATATGGCCTGGGGACAAGCACTGTGGGCAGCCCCTACCTACTCTGTGCTGGGGTGCCCTGTGTTAACAGATGGGGAAGTGACAGAGCCTCCTCTCCTGCCTTCTTCTTCCCATGTATGCCACAGGGGCCTGAGAACTTAGTTTGGGCATCTTCTATTCTCACTGGCTGCAACTACAGCATGGTAGCTTATCATATAACATCTGGTCCTCCTCTACTCAGTCATCCAGGGGCTGGGAGCTCAGGAGCATCTCAGGGATTGGTTCACTAAGGCTTGGACTCCAAACACTGAGCTCAAAACAAGTGCCAACGTGGGGAAGGGCAGCTGAGACAAGAGGTATTAACTGGCTCTCCTCTCCAAACAGCTCAGTAACAAGTCCCTTGACAGAGACACAGCAGGCTGGACCCCCTACAGCTATGTGAACGTGTTAGGTCAGTAGTGATTTGAGTCATCTTCCCCATTAGTCCCACCCTGACCTCTGTACTGAGGGGAGGTGCCTTATCTCAAATCGAAAGAGTCCTGAGCATGGCTTCCCCTGTGGTTAAGTGTACAGGGAGCACGTGGTTACAGCCCAGTGACTACTACAGATGGGACATAAGGATTTCCAGGTGGTAGCACAAAGTTTATTTGCCACTGTGGAAAAGGATCCTCTGCCTAGCACTTTTCAAGGGCTTCTCCCTTCTGCCTTTGTGGAGGGTGGAATGGAATGGGAAGGGAGGAGAAAAAGACAGATGTCCCCAGTCTCTTTGGATGTTACACTGAAGACCTTGATTCCTTCTGGCGTGTCCCTCGCCCAATCCTGTGTCTCCCACCCCCTTTCCGGCCATCCAGGTCTTGGGAATAATGGCTCCTCCCTGTCATTCCTCTCACTAGACTCCCATTTCCAGATCAGTGCCCTGGAGGCCAGGTACCCGCCCGAGGACTTCTACATTGAACTTAGACACCTCAGCCGCCACGCTGAGCCACACTCACCAGGTCAGATCCCCCAGCCTTTCCTTCCACCCCCACCCCACCCAGAGCAGACTGCTCTACACCCCATCCCCCACCCCACAGAGCCTTCCCATGACTAGTCTACCACCCCTATGCCCTACCCAAAGGTGGCAGTCTGTCCCAGTCTTTCCCACTACCCTTTTAACCCTCACCATGCCAGCTGACGTGGACAAATTGGGGTTGCTTGTGGAGGTGACACAGCCTAGCTGTACTTCCTCCAAGCTGCATATGCAACCCAATCACGGTGTTAGGTAACAGAAGGTTGGTTAGAAAAGCTTTTCTTTGGATAGAAAAGCTCAATGATTTCCAGAAAGGCCCCAGACCTAACAGTGGCCCAAACGCTATCTTCTTAGAAAATGAGGTAGGACCATCAAATGAGGTAGGGAGAAGATAGGCAGTATTCTCTTGGACTCAAAACACTGAACTCAAAACTAGTAGTCTGGGGTATTAAAAGGCACTTGACATCTGCTGAGTCCTGCCTGAAAGGAGGAACATGTGCATGTTAGTGAAATGTGTATCAAAGGAATACAATGGATGGGGGGAGAATGTGACCTCCCTACAAAGTGCTCTTCTAGGGCAGGCAGCCTGTAGAAGAGCCTCGGAATGCTAGACAGCTCTGGGTTTGAGTTTGGGCTCCAGCTGACTCTCAATGCTCCAGTGAAACCAAGTCAACTTCCACAGATCTCTGGTCCAGGAAGCATGAAAGTTCAGAATTCATCTCGTTGAGTAGGTCTGGCTGTATGGACCCTGATGTCTGTGGGTTCCTCAACTATGGCTAAGCATTCAATACCCCTTGGACTTTAATCCCTACCTTCACTCCACCTTGAGGTCACTCTGGTCCAAATGAGAGTATAGGACATCATCTGGGCTCAGCCCCAGTTCCTCCCTGTTACACAGACCTTCAACCACTACAGCCAGAGTACCACACACTCTAATTTATTAACTGATGGCCAGCTAGGCTATGGCCACTGGGAAAGAACACCTGAGATGATCTGGGTTCTACCACAACTCAACTTCTTATTTGCTTGTATATTCTTGAACAAGTCTCTGACACTCTTTGGACCTCTATTTCCTGTTTTATAAAGAAGAGGGGCTAACATTATAGGTGCCCTCCTTTCTTCGGTGAAAACAAAGGAAGCCCTTGACTATTATTAATTGTTAAATCAAGGGTTCTTACAGGCCTTTTAGAATGGCTTCTGCAAATTCAACTTGGGAATTCAAGGCAGAGGGAAGGTCCAGGTATCAGTGGGTTTGTCTTTGGTGTCAGAAATGTGGACAAGTTATATTTTGGTAAGCATTTGCCAAATGCCTTGCCTGGTACTGTTTTCAGTACCCTGTTTAAAGAGCAGGGTGTATCTGGTTAAGAACCCATACTGCTTTTGGTTCCTAACGTCCATATCACAATACCTGAAACTCTAGTTCCAGGGGATCCAACACCTCTGACATCCATGGGCACCTGTACTTACATGTACATAGAATGTATGTGTGTGTGTGTGTGTGTGTGTGTGTATGTATGTATGTATGTATATACACAGATATACATAAATTGTGTAAAGGGGTTAACTGTGAGTTAATCATTACTGTCCCAACATGGAAAGACCAGATTTGCTCCCACCCCTGAGTACACTCGTAGCAATCAACTCAAGTTTATGTCCTGCTTCTGGCTAGGGTTCAAGACCGCACACTCTGAGAACCTAACAGCAAAATGAACAAAGTTCTCCTTCTCCACCCCCTTCAAAATGAGTAACTGAGCAAACTGGCTGTGGCTAGGAATGACTGTTCTCCCTAGAAAGATGCTAATCAAGTGCCCTGGCTACTTGTCTACTTCTCTCTGGCACTCCTAGATCCAGGAAAGGCAGGATTAGAGTTAAGAGGTGAAAAACCATGTCTCCAACTCCACTGCAAAGCCAAGAGAAAGGAGAACCAGAATTCTCTTCATCTTTACCTCCAGCTAAGGACTGGTCTGGCTTCATTCCATATCCTGTGCCTCCAGAGCCTGGCACTTCACCTACAGAGATCACAGACACCATCCTGCAAGGCAGAGGCAGGTTAAGAGGAAAGCTAAAGAAAAAGAGGGCACTGGAGCTGATCTTAATGTAATGAGGCTTTTAAGAATCCCAGTATGTTCAAAACTATTTAGAATAGATTAAATCCAGAATAATTTGCAAGGAGTAAACAACTATTGTCTGGGTAAAAGACGAAAACTACAAGGGGAGGAAGAAGCCACCAGCTGTCCAAGGAAACCTCACCCTGTATTTTCTTTCCTTCTGTTTTTATGCAGGCACCTGTGGAATGGATAGACGTCAGAATACATACATTATGGACAAAGGCTTCAAAGGTAGAGTACCTAATCCTGATGTCCTGTTACACAGGGCTTAGCAAAAGATTACAGATCTGAGATGGCAAGGAAGTCTGCCTGAGAGAAAGTGCAAACCCATGCCCCTTAAGAAAAACACAAAACTAAAAAGATCACAGGACCCAGAGCCACTGGGTGGCTCTGCCCAGAAGGACCAATCCTAATAATGATGAATTCATTTTTCCATTGCAGTTGCACCTGCTTAGCAAACGCTTGTGGGTTTGTTATAGATGCCAACCAAATGTCTTCAGAAACGCAGACTGTCATTATCCAACCAATTAGTACAAGTTAAATTGATTATAAATCTGAAATCAAATCACTCTACCTGCCCCAGAAGCCTTCTGTCGTTGTACTGGCAAGGAACAGCACCCTGCACCTGCTGCCTTTCTGGGGCACAAGGAATGCAAATGATAACCAGTGTTAATACTATATGGCCCCACCCTCAAGAGAGTTCTTCGCCCAAGAGCAGGGAAGCCAAGACAGATCCCTACGCCACAGGAACTACACACAAGGTGGACCATCTCTCTAGGAAGTCTACAGGTGAAGCCAAAAAAAAAAAAAAAAAAAAAATCAAAGATCAAGTCCAGCCCCTGGCTCCAGTCCTAGGTTGAATACTGGGCCATGTAAGCTAGGCAGAGAGCTTTGGAACTCTGTCACTTATTAACTGTGCTTCTGGAGGTTGTTCCTTCATCTGCAAGGTTGGGATAACTGTGCCTGTCCTGTTGACTCACGCCTGTCTTGTTTTCTAACAAGGTTATCTTGGCTGTCCAATAAAGTCGGATGGGAAGTGCTTTTGTATATTATAAAAGTGGTACCAATGTGATGTCTTTGGTAAATATCTCAAAGTTTCAGTCAAACTGAAAGAGCAACAAAAGTCAGCAAAGATCCCAAATGATATTCTAAATCTGGGTCTGTACCAGAAGCAGCCAGCAAGTGTGTCCAAACTGCAGATCTTTACACCCACATCAGATTCTGCTGCAGTAGATGGAGAGGAGGGCCCTACACCCTGCAACTGCAAGGAACATCTCAGGATGGCCTTGTGCAATTTATTACTCAACTATTACTTGTCTAAACATTCCTAGGTTTCTTTCTGTTCTGCTCTTTCAGACCTAGCATGGGTCTTGGGGAGATGGCTATCAGAAGTGAGATTAGCAAGACCTGGGCGGTGTTTGTGATCTACCAGCAAGGAAACAGCAGGGCTGAGGGACCATCAAGCATGGTTTAGAATATACAAAATTCAGGAGACCTGTCTGAGTAGGGAAGCCATTCCCAAGCTTTAAGCTAGCCCACAGGCAGTATCCCCTATCCCCTAGGAGCTTGATTTTAGCAAGTTTCTGAGGGTTCTGGCTTAAACCATTCAAATGGGGGCAAACACCATTCCGGTATGTGAAGTTGCCAATGGAAAAGCAATTGTGCCACTTGGTCGCTATGACCCAAAGCCTCAGTTTCTTTCTTAGTGTGGAATGGGGACTAGAGAGCTCTCCCCCATGGTCTTTGGGGCTTTGAGAAGATTTATGACTCAATGGAGGATAGCTCAGACAAGCCCTGAGATTAGTTATACAAGCACACCTTCCCGACACACCTTTTCATCCTGTGCATGGTATTTAGGGTAACTACTTTTAAACTCAAAACCATAAATGTAAAACAAAGCCAATGAAAGCCAGTCTCTGCCTTGTTTTCATTACATTCCTGTCCTATGGTATCATCTGAGTACATGGGAGGCTCTAAAAGGCAAGCAGTCAGATTCTGTTTTACCACTGGCTTTAGTCAGCTTTTAAATTAGAAAGAACTGTCTAGGCAAATGTACCATCAAGTGTTAGGGGCCAACATGACACAATAGAGTTCAAAGAGAGGCAAGGGAAATATCAGTATAGAACTTTACAGAAAAGCTTATAAAACACATGGAACAAATCCTTCCTGAAGGCTAAATTTCCAAGCATCCATCAGCTACTTCATGCCATTAATTTAAACTATTTCCTAAACCAGTAAGGGCAAGGCCAAACTCAGCAGGACTAAATAAGTCTGGATGTTCTATAAACTTGGGGTGTGTGGGTGGGAGTGGTGGGTGTGGCTTGCCAGAGAATGAAAAAATTTGGGTTCCAGTTCAGCTATCCGGTGCTCACTAGATACAGAAGTACCTGTGGGTCTTGGCCTCTTCTTCAAAAAAGCAGTTTGTCACAGCACCCTCTCTAAGGCCTCTTACAACTCTGATATTCTAAAAGTCCTAATTCAGGTAACATCCACTTTTTTCTCTGTAACTAGAAACTCTACTCACTGTCACCCTAGGAGTTTGAAGGAGACGAAGAAGACTGCTTACACAGTTAAGCACTTGTCTTTCTTTTCCCCTTCAGCATAATGACTGTACATTAAACTACCTAATGTTCAATTCCTTGTCTGTCAAGCTTTCAACGTGTAACAGAAAAAAAAAAAAAAATCCACCTTCTGTCTGGGAATCCTTGAACCTTTGCTCCCTTGTCACCCAATCTCCATGACTCTCCAAGTAACTTTGGGTTCTCAGACATTCAGAAGCCTCTAACATCCTGAAACCTTTTTGTGACAGCCCAATGTTGTCTGGACTTCACGTCTCCCCTATCCTATCTCTCTCTAAAGTGATGCTTGATAACTTAACCCCACAAACAGAAGCAAGAGGCCTCCTATTGATAGCAGTAGCTCAGGTGAGCAACAGATACTTAGTGCCTAGATTTCCACATACATTTGAATAACTTGGGCCTTAAATAGACATCAAGCCTTAATAGGTTCGGAACATTCATAGAACAATGAGAAGTTATACCCTCGCTCTAGACCTGTGCTTCATTTAAAAAAAAAAAAGGAAGATCCTCATTTCAGAAACCCATTCTGAACATGATAATATGCGTGACTACATATGGTCCAGAGGAGGAAACAAGAAGAGTAAATGCCAGGGCACTTGGAGGACGGCAGGCTTCCTCTTTCTTTGCACAGTGCCCAACAGGCAGGCACTGTGGGGGGAGTGGCTATAAAAGGATGAGGAAGTATTCTAGCCAGGCTGGTTATTTTTCCCCACACCCTGCCCTTGGAGCAGGCAGGTAGATGACTCAACAAGAGAAAATCTTGGCTTCCTGGGGCTGAGTTTTCCAGGTTGCTCTACCCCATCTCCTCCAGTTCTCAGCAAAGATGGGATAGCTCAGCACCCTTTGCAACCACCACTCTCCAAGGCTTTCTCTATCCTCTCTTAGCCTGTAAACCTTGTATAGAAGACCCTTGGCCCTGAGCATTATGCCCTTCCCCCAGCTCCAACTTAGCTCAGGAAAGGGAACACAATGGAATGGATAAAAGCCCACCCTTTCACTTCCTGGTGAAAATACCTCTGGATGAGGCACTAAGGCTCCCCCCCTCTACCTCAGTCACTAAGCTTTTTAAAGCTTAGCTGTTCCTCTCAGCAGGCTTTGGCATTGCTAAGAAGGATAAACTAAAGCAGCTGTAAAGAGCTTACACTTGGGTAACTAGATATCCTGAGGGAAAAACATCTTGATTGTCGGATAAGACAGTGGTTGAGTCCTAAGCACTAAGCATTAGACTAACAAACTTTTTAAACAGCAGTAACAGTCCTTTCCCGGCCACTCCCCCCCCCCCCCCCCCCAAAAAAAAAAGAGGTACTAAGTTTCTTTCTTTCAGTTTAGTTTGAGACAACGTCTCACTATAAATAAAGCCCTGTCTAGCCTGGAACTTGATATAGGATCCAGGCTGGCCTTAAACTCAGATATTTGCTATCCTTTGCCTCGCAAATGCTGGGTTACAGGTGCACCCAATCACACCCATCGCCTACGTTTCAAATAACCTAACTGGAATGAAGGTCACTCTTCAAGTGCTACACAAAAGCAGCTATCCCTCAATTCCACAAAATATGCAACAGCTTTTCAAACAAGAAGCCTTGAGCCTCTCCACTGCCTGATGAGTTTAGAGCAGCCAATTGGGACTGACCGGGAACTCCTCAGGCGTACACCACTGCCCTGTACTAAGGAAGTACTAAACTAGATGGCTTGAGGCAAATCACAATCCAGGAACCAGGCCACCATTTTCTACAAGGGTAGGTCTCCACCAGCAGAAGTATCTATTTACCTACTCTTCACTCCTAGAGAAAACAGGCTGAGACTGCTCACTATCTAGTAAGACTGTTTCTTCCTGAGTAAGGTGCCACAAAGGTCAGTCTTAGACCAACCAGACGAAGTCAACTTCTCTCCAATGTGTGCACTCAACTGGGATGAAAAGGCTTTGAATTTGCTTCTGGAACTGACTTTGTTACTGAGAGGCAGTGGGAGCATGAGGCATTTACTTCCCCATTCTGTCTCAATTTCTTCAGAAGCACTGAGGTGGGAGGAGAGGGAGTAGTTTTTGCTCTTCCTGTACACCTTCTGAACAACTGAAGGAAATAGGCGAATGCACTTCTACACAAAACCAAGGACCTGCTGCTGCTAGAACAAGAGCTGCCCACATTCAGGATAAATCCCTCCTCCCTGGATTTGAACAAAGCACTCATGGTAGTGCACATCTCAGGTACTTCTGCCACAGTCACATGGCTTTCACTCTTCAACATTTTCAGTAAATCACAAGCTGGGGGCAGGGGGCTTAGATAACAACAGCCCAAAGTGTGAACTGTGATGGTTCTCAAGAAATTTCACCAACTGACTTTCACAGACATTTAGAGGTGAGGCCTATTAGGTCATGCTTGACTGTTAAGCTCTAGCCACTCAAGGTTATTTCCAGACGCCTTGCCTGCCAATGTCTCACAACTAATGGTCAGCGTCAGACTGGCTTACTGCTTTTTCCAGACAAGTCCTACAATGCACAGGTCACCCCAAAAGGAAGAAGAGTAGCAGCTGAAGAAAGGAGCCCCTTCTTCCAGTAGAGCTTCTGTCACTTCATCTCATGTTTAGATATCATTCTACACCCTTGTGCAGCTGAGCTCTAGTGACAGAAAAACACGGCTCAAACAGTCACCTTTCCCAACAACTGGGGAAGACAGGCCGAGATGGTACTGTGACCTTCCTAGAACATAGCTACTTCTCAAAGGATAGCTTGAGACAGGGGGCTTTTTATACCTGTTAAATTGCAGTTAGCCCACTCTAAGGAGCTCCTGAAAGACAGGGATGTTTCTATTGGCTGAAAGCTGACATCACACATATAATGCTGCTGCTTTGAAACAAAGCTTCTAGTCATTAAAACTCCAAAGAATGGTATCACAGAAAATACAAGGCAAAGAAGTTCCCAAGCATAGATTTAAGTCATGGCTCTGCAGTGCTATTTACTAGCTTATGACCCTAGCCAAGTTACTGAATCTCTCTGGGCTTCCACCCCGTAACATGCCAGATAGCAATTGTATAAACTCTGTATAAACTAAGTGATTTATGTAAAAACACACCGTGAATATCTTGAGTTAATAGCTAATGACTAAAACCAATCATTTTCTTGGCCTTCAAAAACATGTTTTTGTAAGAAAAGAATGCCTGAGAAAGCATACCTTAAGACATTTAATAAGACTTATTCTTCCAGTATCATAGTTTTTTCCAGCCCCAGAATACTGAAGCACACAAACTTGACTGAAGTATGTTTCTGGTGTCTAAATGAATCCTTATGACCTTGCTTATCCTAAGAAATCTCTCTTGCCTTACAGATTACATGAAAGAATCTGTGTGCAGTTCTAGTACTTGCTCCTTGAACAGCAGTGAAAACCCTTATGCCACAATTAAGGACCCACCCATCCTCACCTGCAAGCTTCCAGAAAGCAGCTATGTAGAAATGAAGTCACCTGTGCACATGGGGTCTCCGTACACAGATGTGCCATCCTTGTCGACAGCTAATAAAAATATATATGAAGTTGGTAGGTGTCTGACATAACTTAGGAAACCAGGGGAACAGTGCTGCACCTCAAGTGAAAGTAAGCCCACCTCCACTCCCTCTTATCTCCATAACACACCTTCTGTTTGGTTGCCTTTGAAGGAACCTGAGGAGAAACTCCATCCCAGGACTGCCCTCTCCCTAAGACAGGAAACCAAATCTTGTGTCACTGCTTACAAATCACACCTGATAAGCAGCAGAAATACTGAGGCTGGGACTAGTATAGAGCATGTCAGCTGATTGCTGATACAAATCCAAGTGTGACAAAGAAGAGTCAGAACAGCCACTGCCACGTTTGTTTGTTTGTTTCATTTGCCACGTTGTAAACCACATCTTATACACCTCCCCAGTTTAACTATGATCCTAGATGCACTCCTGAGACCCACACCTCTAGGATGTCTTGCATCTCTTACCAAGCAGAGGGTGAGGTTCTGACAGTACACATCCTTAGGTTTTTCCATTTCTTGAGCCAGGCTCTGTCCTAATCCTCGTGTGTTTGTCAGATTATACACCCGCAGTTCCTTTCCCCAACAAGTTAAACGGAACTTTCTTCCCTCCCACCAAGGCAACAACACTAATCTGTTCCCTGAACTCATTTTTCACTATATTCCTTAGAGCCCACAGTCAGTGTGGTCCAGGAAGGCCGAGGTCAGAACTCCAGCTATATCCAGAATCCGTACGACCTACCTAGGAACAGCCATATTCCTGGTCATTGTGACCTCCTCCCAGTAGGAGAGGGCCCCACCCACGGGCTCCCCCAGGACAAACTGTAAGAGGGACAAGCTTCTGAGTGTGCTCTGCCGACTATTTTCTGGCTCTGAAAGAAGACAATCCATGACCTGAAATGTCAGTACAGACGGACTGAGCTGTGTGTGATTAGCTCCTTCACCTGGACTGAAGACATGCTTCTAAACGGGAGTGGGTAACCGTTCAACAAAGCCTGTTCACAAAGGCAAATCCTATCACCTTCAGCCCTAAATGCCTGGGTATGATTTTTTAAAACATTTAAGATACTGCTACTCATCAACATCAGCTAAAAGATATGTATTTAATATTCTGAAACAACTCTTAAGAAGCATGTAGCTTAGGTTCTGCAAACTTTCCTAAGAAGAAAAGGGGGCTGGGGAGGGGAGTGGGGACACTTTAAAGCACCTGAAATGTATATGTGCTGTTGGCTGTTGGTACCATCAACACCTGTTTCTAAGGGAATTGGTCTGTGGACATGAACTGTTCTAGTATTAATCGCAAAGTCTGTGTACATAAGGCTTTGGTCCATCAAAATATAACAGCCACAATCAGAGTTTAAAATATAGCCTAATTCTGACAACTTGCATTTTCAAAAACAAGAATTTAATAGCCATTTTCTTCTGCCCTATTAGTGATAACAGGCAAAACAGAAAGGGGGAATAAGTAATCATTTCAAAAGTGCAGCAGTTTCTGTCAATCTAGAATGATTTCTACACCAGTCTTACCAAATTCGGGAATAATGAATGCCAGGCCTGGCCTGGCTGCAGTGAATTAGTTCACCCAACACCTGAGTTATTCTGTGTGCACCAGAGAACTAAGATGCTGCTTTGAGAGAACAGTCCCAGGGCTGGTAATGTAGCTCAGTGGAAGAGCACTTGCCTACTGAGCAAGAACCTGTGGTAGATCACCAACATCATTAAAAAAAGGCACCGGGTGGTAAGAATTAAGTTTCCCTAAAAACATCTAATAATTGGCCTGTTCACTTTACTTTAGTCAGAGTCCCTTGTTTTTGAGCAGTTCTTCATAAATGGCACTTGATGGAGTGCAGAACCTAAAAGGGTAGAAGAAATTACACCATTGTGGGCATGGTAAGCTTATGTTGCTTAACAAACATGATGTTTTTTTGATGGAACTAATGAAATAATGTAAAACAACCAAACAAACAAAACAGTAAAATCCCCCCACCTACTGAGGTGGAGAAATGTGTACTCCATTAGCTGGTGCTTCAAACCTCCTGTTCAGGTAAGTCCATAACTTCCACTGCACAGGTTTAAACTGAGGCTTGAACAATTCTGAACAGCTAATTCCCAAGTCCTAAAGGACTTCTTCACAAGAATTAAGAGCAAAAAGGGAAGTTAATGGTCACCTTGTGACATCCCATGCTCTTAAAGAGGAATAAGGGTATAGAGCCTTTGAAAATTACCTAAAAATGCTTTACAGAAGAGGGAATAGAAGACTGCAAAGCTGGATTACTGCTACAGGAAGTGGGGTTGATATCCTTAGTTTGAGTAATAATCAGCAAAAGAAAGAAAGAAAATAAACATGAGCAAATCTCTCTCCTCATTTCACTCAAGGCAGAAGCCAATTTTAGCATTAGAGGAACATATACATGAATGCTGCATGTGTGCATGGAAGCGAGTGATCAGCAATAGCAAACTTTCCAAAAAGCCTTATTAAAATAGAAACATTAGAAAATTATTTGTAGACCTAAGTTAATATTTCTCATCCATATATATAAAAAAACAAAGTTAAGAAACTCACCTCAGTATTTCAGGGCCACAAGTGCTCAATTATCTTTGTGAAGCAAGGATGAAGAAGCATGGCAAAATCCAATCAGTAAGGAGAAATGGCGTTTCGATCCCAGGCTTTATCTTCTTCCCTTATCCTGCATGTACAATAACTGCTGCCTGGCAAACAGCAATGATGCAAATTCCAAGTCTCACTTCCCTCTTGCCAACTATACTCTGCACAGAAGTATTCAGTAAGAGGTAGGTGGCTAGAGCACCAAGTCAGGAGATGCTGGCACCACTCTTGTTAGGTCAGTTGCCCTCTTTGGGCTCCTTTATTTCCCACACATGAAAGAAGAAAGACACAGAGTGGGAGCAGAGCTCTAACAGCTCTCCAACGGTAGCACTCTACAACATTTCAAGTAACAGAATTCAATCAGGCAATACAGAAGAGAAGGGAAGGGGTAAAAATGTGATTAATTATGGCGACAACAGCAGCCTTCACATAGCTAAGAGTTAGTACTAGGACACTTCAATCATGCAGAGCAACTGTTAGGAACTTCTAACAGGTTCACGGTCAGCCTAAACACGTGCTCTGTGCATTCGAGAGATAATCTGGAAATATCTGCTCAATTATTCTTCAAAATGAAAATTTCAATCCAGTAAATTAGTATGTATACAAGTCAGACAAAACAGTTATTGTACAATAGTATGAGAGACTATGAAATGGCAATACTTTTTTAAATCACAGATTTGTAATATATTTGTTCACTGTGCAGAGGACTGTACCTTATACAAAATAAAATGGATTCTCAAACTAATGTTACAAGAATGTCTACTATTGTGTTGCACACTGAAAATCTATAACCTACACTTTATGTTTAAGACAGAACTAACCTACATTTGATATGGTTACTTTGAACAGCTGGAAGAATGAAAGTCACCACAACAGACTTTGAAAAATGAAACAAAAGCTTATTTTTAAAGTAATATATAGGATATCCTTAATTCCTGTTAAGTATTTTATAATCCCATTCACCTCAGTATTAGGTTTTTCTGTTTTCCCAAGGATGTGTCTTCAAAGGCAATTATAACAGATTAGGACAGCACAAATGGCACGTGTAAGGTCCACCCAATTTTTATAAATCCAATGAATAGCTTTTGACTAATAGAATTTAGTATATGCATCTGCTTTTTGGGCATTTTAAACAAAATCTTCAAACATAGCTGGGTTTAAAACATAAGGAAAAAAAAGAGCTGTCATGATGATTCATTACTATAATCCCAGCACTTCTGAAAAACCTGGGCTACAGTATGAGAGCCTGTCTCAAAACAAGCAAGCACACAGACAATAAAGGTCAGGCGTGGTACTATACTCTAGTCATCCCAGTATTGGGGAGGCTAAGGCAGGAGAGTTTCAAGTTGAAGCAGCACGGGCTACATAGTGAGTTCAAGAGTAGCCTAGGCTAGGAGAATTTATTTCAAAGAACATAAACAAGAGGCAGCATGATTATTACTATTCTTTTTTAAATACACGTTACTCAACTAAGCACAGAACTCAGTGATATAGCACTTGCCTAGCATGCATGAAGGCCTGGGTTCAATTCCCAGCATCACAGCAACTTAAAAGAAAATACAGATGCTTATTGGGCTGGCAAGAAGACCGAAGTTTAATGCCTAGGACCCATAATACGGTACAAGTTGTCCTTTAACCTCCACAAGTTCTCTCTCTCTAAACAAATTTAAACAAATAAATTTGTAACTCTGAAATTAGTTCATTAGGTTCAGACTTTCAAAGGTGCATATATACATATACACATACATATATATTTTTTCCTCATATTAAGTCAACTCAAAATATCCCAACTTGTCAGTTCACCAGGCTTTGTGATACTTAAAAGTTATTTTTGGCTAGGTATGATAACACACGCCCACAATCCTAGCCCTTCAAGGAGCTGAAAAAGAAAGGTCTGGAATTCAAAAGCAGTCTGAGCAAGTTAGTAAAGCCGTCAGATTAAGTTAATGGCGAGGGATGTTAGCTCTGAAAACACTTGTTTAAGCTGTGTGAGACTCCGAGTTCAGTCAACGGTACTAGGCCTCCCCACAAAGTTATTTCAATTTAGCATGTTTAACCAAGAATAATATTTATTTTGTTATTATTTTATTTTGGTTTTTCAAGACATGGTTTTTCTCTCTGTAGCCCTGGGCTGGGCTGGCCTCAAACTCAGAGATCTTCCTGCCTCTACCTCCCAAGTGCTAGGATCACAGGCATGCACCACCGTGCCCAGTTCTAGAATAATATGTTTTTGCTACTCAGAAATAAGTGCCAATCAGGAGAGGCAACTAACAGGTAATTCTTCAGAGCTGGAGGCCAACACATTCAGTGAACAAAGGGTAAAGTTTACACTCGTTGAGTCTCTGAATATTACTCGTACAAAAAGGATAGTCAAGGACCATTGGCCATAGGTTGTGCCCTTAGCATCCATGTATTTTATTAGTCATTCACCTACCGAGAAAAAGACACAAGAGGGCATTTGATCAGTGCAGCAATGAAAGAAAGAAAACTATCTAAGGAAGGGTGGATTCATGGATGGCTATATGGGAGCTCATATTATTTGTGCTTTGTAATTTTTTTAATTATAAATTTATGTAGAATTATATACCTACAATTCTGTATTATTTTAATAATTTTAAACATGTCAGAATATAAACATGAACAAATCTATTCCCTGCTTTGTGGCCCTTACAATATGATTTCAAAGGGGCAAGGATAAAGGAGGCCATACGGCAATAATGATGTGGTTTCTTCCTTGACTTACAGAGCACCAAACATTAGTCCAAACCAACCCAAAACAGGTTCAAGCTCTGCTCTTACATTAGTTGTCAGATTCCCTCCTCATTCTAGCACCAACTGTCTACTTTTCAAACTGTCTACCCTAGAGCCTTGGGTAAGAGGAAATATGGGAACCAGTGATCTTACACAGTACTGTTATTTATGTATCCACTTTAATTTTTAAATAAGAAATAAAACCAGTTAACTAAAGACCCTACCTACTTCCTCTCTAGCTGGTGTCACAAAAAAGACAGCCTATAAAATAGTTTCTGGGACTAGCATGATGACTCAGTGGTAAAGGAGCTTGCTGCATGGCAGACAACCTGATCCCCGGGACCCACATGGCGGAAGAAGAGAATCACCTCCCTCCAGTTGTTCTCTGACCTCCAACCATATACTGTGCCACGTCCCCATCCCACTCCCAATAAATAAGTGTAATAATTTTTAAAAAATGAAATAGTGTTACTTCTTAAATTGTCCCATGTATCAGGCAGGTATAGGTATGTGTGTGCTTCTTTCTATAACATTTTCCCAATGACGAAAGGCTCGGTACCGAGGCCAGTACAAAGGGCAGCAACCCTTAAAGACATTAAGAACCATACACTTGCTCAGAGATCTATGAAAATGTCTAAGAGACCAGAGGTGTCAGTAAGAGAATGGATGCTAAAAGCAGGCCATCTCCTCAATGGGAGGGGGGTAAGAGAATCTGAGAGCTTACGGCTTAAGGAAAGGTTAAGTCATGCTAACTCAAAAATACAAAAGGAATGTTGCTAGCTATACATACTGGTACTAGTGCTAGCCAATACTGGTGAATAATACGTAACAGCCGATATACACAACATTTTATGTTCATATCTGTTAACTACCAATCCTATGCCTAATACATGGTAAGAAAATTAATTCAAATAAATTTAATAGATCACATCAATAGCCCCAGAATGTCTTTTAATCATATGTGCGCGTGTGCACGCACGCACGTACGCACACACACATTAACCCATACACTGGAGGACATTTTTGTTTGTTTTATTGAGGGATGGGGCACACACAGGTTTTGAACTCCTGGCATCATGCCTAGCTTAGTCACTAGTACCAGACAGCTCTATAGGGCCCTATAGAGTTCTTTAAAAAAAGTATGCAAGATATTTTTTAAAAAGTTCTCTCCAGAATGCAAGCCACTAATACCAAAACTGCAGAGGTAGAGACAGCAGTAGTTCAAGGCCAACCACAACTACATGAGATCTTATCTCACAAAACAAAAAGCCAGTAGTATTTTTTTTAATAATAAAAACCATATAACAAAGAGTTCTCAATTTATAATTGACTCAGAAGCTGATCGAATGTTTCTCCCTTCCCTCACACTTGATATCTTCATACACATGGTTAAAACTGACATGTATCCAATGTCCTGAAAACCTGCATCTTATTTAATGAGAATTAGCACAGAGATAGATGATTTTAAGCAATTATATTAAGACCAAAACCATTTTTGTAAGGTATTTAATCTGATATTTTACATATCTGTTAAGTTTAAAATTTGAGTTAGAATTTTTATTTGATTTTAATACCTATACATGACCTAGAAATAACCTAGTTCAGTCACATCATTACTTCAAAGGATATGAACTAAAAGATAAAATGGACAAGAGCTGTTACTATAACTTTTCCAAGCAGCCGATCCATTATTTCAATCTTCTAATTTATGCCATTTTGCTATTCTTCTTCAGTTTTTTGTTTTGTTTTGTTTTTGTTTTTCAAGACAGGGTTTCTCTGTGTGTAGCCCTGACTGACTATCTGGAACTAGCTTTGTAAATCAGTCTAAACTCGAACCCAGAAATCCACCTGCCTCTGCCTGCTGAATGCTAGGACTAAACGTGTGTGCCACCACTGCCCAACTCAGTACGTTGTCTAATGCAGGTAGCTGGGATACAACATTCTTCCAAACACTCTATCCTCCACTTTTCAGGAAAATGGATACTGATAATTAAAGTGATCTCTCAGCCAAGGGTTCTCAATGAGATTAGCATGCTGTGTCATTTTATCAGTCTCCTACAATTTGGAACAACAAAATTGTCCTATAAAATACAGTACTGGCAACTCTGATTTATTGGTGATGTATCCAGTCCTGGAAAGGATGATAGTACCAGCACTGACTGCTCCAACTAGCAAAAGCTCAGGATGCTTTCTTTCTGGCATAGTGTCAGGGCAGCCTTTCTTATACTTTGCTGGGCTATTAAAGGATGTGGAAGTTGCTCCTTCCATAGCACTTGTCCTTTTTTGTAGCACAACAAAAGCCATATTTTATTTTGGTTTGGCTTGGTTTTGAGATAGTTTTTCTTTGTGTAACTCCAGGTGTCTGCAGCTTGGTATATAGACCAGGGGGGCCTTGAACTTGCAGTGACCTCCTGCTTTTGCCTCTTGAGTGCTGCCATAAAAGGCAAGACTAGCAGTTTTGAATTTTCTTCAAGATTATGATCCACTTTTCTCAGTTAATAACATTTTTTTTTTTACAAATTCTTTAAACTGAAAACAGTAATTTTTAAATTACCCAACAATTTCTGCTTCTTATGTTGGCCCAAAATGTCCAAATGGTATACCTTTTTCTTTATAATAGATTAGGGAGATTAATTATTACAATAGCTCACTCCATTGAGAGCATTTCTGACTGTTCAGTCAGAAGTGACAAAAGTTAAAACATTCATTTTCCTAACAACCAAAGAAATAAAGCTAACTCAGTACAGTTAAGGGGTAGCTTTTCTGCAGAACTCTTCAGAATTTGAAAGATCTGTGGCAATGAAACACTAGCTGCTACCTCTACTTACAATTCCAATTTTGCATACTCAGTGGAATGGCTAACAGTAACTTACCCTGACACAGGGACAACGACAAGAAAAGGCACAGCACTTCTAAATAACAAAGACAAAGCTAGCTGTGATGGCTGGCTTTCCAGGAGAATATAACAGGCTTCAGAAAAAAACATCTAAAGTTAAAACTAATGAAAAGTAGGGTCAAACCCCAAAGTACTTGTGAATTCCCTTGAGTTGTCCTAGTAAATAAAACTGTAATGATTATTTGAGACAGTCTGTCTCCTGAGATCCAACTCCAGGTGAAGACTGACATGCAAACAAAGTTATTTTCTAATACCTAGTGTTGCCTGGTACTCTCCCAAAATCCCACCATGTCCAAGTAGCATTTAATTCTATTCTTGGTTTAAAAAAATCAAAATCAAAATCAAAATCTACTTAGTCATTTTTGATTCATTACTTAATTTTTTTAAGTTTTATTTTATAAATCTACTCTAAAATTTTAATAGAGATGGAACCTTTTCCTGTGTCTAGTGACACTGTTAGACAGATATGTACAGAGACTGTGTCACCGTTTTTAGAAATACTTTTCCCAAGAAAAGTGTAATTGAACTGCTGATCTAAAAGTCTACTGAACTGACACTGTTGCCCTCAATCCCAGTTTACTCAGCAATGCAAGGACCTATGTTCTCACTTATCATAACCAAGTTTCCCATGGCTGCATCCAAAGCATTCAGAGGAAAAATATAATCTGACAACACTGGGAATAGACCCCCTATAAACTGTTTATTAGAATGAGAATATACTCCAAATCAATAACTAGAAAAAAAAAGTTACACAGCATGCATAAAATACAAAGCAGCAATTTATAAATAGACAGTATCTTTATAACCAATACACTAACATAACAAACAGCTATAAAAGAAAAACAAAATGACTGACTACAGCAATGCCTTCTGTGCTCCCTACACATCATGAGCACTGCAAAAGACAGAAGATCAACCATGAAACACAGTCATCTATGCAAGCCCACACACTTTTTTGCAGGTACCCCACCATCCTGAATAATATCTTTGCAGTTAACTTTCAGAAAACTTCAGAGAAAGTACTTAATTTTATCCACAAGGAAGTAAAAGTATTAGTGTGCACATTTCTGAATGAGAAACTAGTTGCTCCATTGATTTCAATTATGTAGTGGAAAAATCTATTTCAGGACCCTACAACGCCTAAGTGCATCTACGTAAACTCAAGGTACAATTTCATTTTACATTCCAAAAGAACACATGCCTGTTAAGTGGTACCACTTGAGCATAAATTAACCTCTCACTGTATTCTTTAGACAGACTAAAACCAAAGTATTAACTGAACTATACTCCATTGTATACTCCAGAACTCAAATATAAGCAAGATGCAAAAATAATTACCCATGCTTGTTGGTGGATACGCTGATAAAATTAGGTTGCATTTCACTTACTAGAAGGGTTTAAAAACAAACATAGCACTTCAAAATGTGATATTACCAGCATTAAGCTAGTTATTGCATGAGCAATAAAAGTGCCACACAATCTAGTGCTGGAAAATGAGACTGGTTAAGCTACTCTGGCTGCCAATCACTGCAACTGAGACACCTCAGACAGAAGTCCAGTAGGCTGCCAGGCAGCAGGGTAACTTCCACCCCATAACCATGCCCCATATATGCAAATCATAACAGTCCTTTGTGTTTATTAAGATAATTCTTTTAAAGAATCCCCATCCTCCTTGATGCTTATAAAAATTAAGGAAAAAATTTACAACACAGACCTATTAAGGCATTTTAGAAGTTGACTTCCACAACGGAAAATCTTCAAGCTCTCAAAATGCTGTTATGTTTACAGGGCAATCTTAGATCTGTCAAAATATGTACTGCCTTGAGGAGAATGTCTTACAAGCTGTTCTGTGGCAAAATAATAGCTTATTTCTAAAGTTGTCTTAGATTCCATCAGGACCAATAGGTCTGAACTTCAAGTGATCAAGTTCTATTATGTCCTATAGTGACAGGCTTCCATGATGAAGAGTAAACAGTAACTGAGGAATTCAAACATTCAGTTTATTAAACTAAGGCTAGAGAAGCCATAGCATGAAAAAGAACTGCAGTCATTCAGGACAAAATTGATGATTTTATAAAGCCAAAATCAAAAGACTTCAGACATGGGAAGATTCTTAAGTGTGAGGAAGTAATAAAACACAGAAAGTGACCACGAGAATTACAAATATATTTAAATCTCAGACCTGGGAAATGGACTATACACAGCCTTCTAGGGGAGAGAGACGCCTTAGATGTTCTGACAGCACTGCACCTTTGGCTTGTTCTCAGTGGTGGGTGGAACATGAATAGGAACCACATTGTTGCTTGGAGACATGTCATTTTCACGTCTGTCTGACATTTGCTTCTGAGAAACAATGCGGTATATCTCTGAATGACAAAAGAAACAGAGACACTTAGTGTGTATAAACCCATGAAGAGTTTGTATGAAAGAGACAGAAGATACATAGAACAAAAACACACATTTACATTTTAATTTTGGACCACGCATGGTACTGCACATCTGTGATCCCAACACTTGGAAGGTGGAGGCAGGAGACTAAGGAGTTCAGAACCAACCTCAGCTACACAGCAAGGTCAAACGACAGCCTGGACACCTGGAGACCTTGTCTCAAGTAAGGTTTTACTTTCAAACAGCCACTAACCAGAGTCAAAGTATTGTTTTAACAATTTTTGTTACAATAAGGAAAGTAACAAGGTTTTTCCATTTCAGAGGGGAAAGTTTACCCATTAATTTAGCCACCTTAAACAGTGATATATTTATGAACACAGACCTGAATTAAATCCTAGAGATATATACTTAGTCCTCCACAGAAGTCCACACAAACGGACAATGTGTAAAACAAATCTGCATTATCAGATACACCTAGCAGTTTCCTAGGTTCTGTAGGGAAGAACACAACTTCCCAAACATATAAAATCTCAAGAGCTTCAGAAGAAAAAGAGCCCTCTGTGTCTTCCGCTATGGGGTTAAGGTTAAGGTTATATGTAATTATTCAAAAGAGATAATCTTAACATATATATGCACTATTTTATTTTTATGACAAGTATCAAGATTTATCTTGTAGCCCTCCACTAATCTTTTAAAGACAAAGTATTAACTTTAGTTCCATAGAACTGACGCTTGAGAAACTACTTGACCAAGTACATATCACTGAATGTCTCCCAGCAACTGTACTGAATTCACTAAACATGCCCTTGCACTGCCTAATCAAACAACAACACACTTCTCAAGAACAGAGAACACAGGTCTCCATCCTGCCTTTCCAGTGTTCCTTCTAAAGCAATACCATCAAAAGACAGGAACACTCTAGAGATGGGCAATCAAATACAATCAGCCTCCAATGAATGCAGTAAAGAGACAATGTACTCCTACGCAGGGTTCATGTGTCCCTGACAAAACAGCTCTGGGTGAATTTGCTCACACAGAAATAAGACAGATTCAGATAAGTATAAATTTTGTATCTCTAATACCCAATATTATTTAAACAAAAATTAAAATTCATGGCTAGGCATGGGGACACAAACCTTTAATCCCAATTCAGGAGATGAAGACAAGCACATCTCTGTAAATTCAAAACCAGCCTGGTCTACATAATAGTAAGTACCAGGCCGGTCAGGACTATATAGTGAGACCTTGTCATTAAAAACATCAAAAGGCAATTCCATAAGGGCCATTATTAATATACTTGGGAAAATCTGAATAAGAACTGCACACTAGAAATACTGTAGACATATTAAATTTTTAGACCTACAATCATGTGACTATGTAGAAACATGCCTTGTTTGTATGAGATAAAATGCTTAAATCTTAGAGGTATAGTTATACAATAAAAAACATAAAATGAGATACATGTTCAAAATGTTCCAAAAAAAGGCGGCCACAGTGGTATATGCCTTTAATCCCAGCACTCAGTCGTGGGGTGGGCGGCAGAGGCTGGATCTCTGTGAGTGGAGCCAACCTAGTCAACATAATGAGTTCCAGGACAGCCAGGGCTGTGTAGAGCTCCTGTCTCACCCTTTGCCCCAAAAGTTCCAAAAACACATCAACTAACTATATAAACATTATAAACGTATAAACTATATATAACATATATAACTGTATAAACATTATCAGACGTTATGTGGATCCTAACTTAAACTGTTAATTTAAAAAAAACTCATTAGTTTCACATTGTTTAGGTAACAGATAATAAGAAATTACTATGAACTTTTTAGTGGTTATGTTATGAATTTAAGTCCCAATTTTAGATATATATCCTGAAATATTTGCAAATAAAATGACTTGTTATCTGGGATTTTTTTCTTCTCTATTCCAAGACAGGGTTTCTCTGTGTAGCCCTGGCTGTCCTAGACTCACTTTGTAGACCAGACTGGCCTCAAATTCAGAGATCTGCCTGCCTCTACCACCCAGAGTTCTGGGATTATAGGCACACACCACTGTGCCTGGCTGAAATTTATTTCAAAGTAACAAAAAAAAGAAAAAAAAAAATCACAGATCAGGAACATTGACGGTTACTAAAATAGGCTAGTATGAGCCTATTCTGTTTTAGGAAAGCTGAAAGCCACACAAAGGATGAATCAGTTTCTTGGTACTGAAGAGATGACACAGCAGTTAAGAGTACTTTCGGCTCTTTCAGAACCTGGTTTTGGTTCTCAGTACCCACATGGTGGCTTACAACCATCTGTAGCTGCAGTTCCATAGCCCTCTTCTGGCCTCCATGGGCACTAGGCACACATGTGGTATACACAAGTCCACAAAAGAAAGCATTACTACAAATAACTTAAAAATAAATAAATGTTCTTTAAAAAAACAAAAACCAGTGTCCCTAAAGTACAGCAATTGCAACTTAATAAATGGGGCTGGAGACATGACTAATCTTCCAGTGGACCTGAGTTCAATTACCAGCACCCATGTCAGGTGCTGACATGTCAAGTGGTCCTGAGCCCAGCTCCTGGATCATACGACTCCCTCTTTTGACCTCTTCCATCATACATGGGACCCACACTCAGCATGTAGACACACACGTTAATTCATGAACTAACAAAAACACTCACCTAAAATGTATCATTTCATTAGGAAAGTAGTTAAAATTTGTCTGAGAAGACTGGTAGTGGTTCAAAGGTGAAGAAGCATCAGTAGAGAAAGAACACAATAAAGACAAGCTACTGATTATAGTTTAAAAACAAGAACACAAAGGATATGGTATTGCCAGATCTTTCATTGACGGGGACAGGGATGGCCAGTGAGATGCTCAATGGATAAAGGCACTTGCCTCCAGTCCTAACAGCTTCAGCACAATCCCCAGAAACTACATGGTTAAAAGGAGGCCTAACTCCTTCAAGTTATCTTCTTACCTTCACCCTCACACTGTGGCAATGAGTTCCACCGCTACACAAAATAAATATTTCCAATTTTGCATTAAAAGAAAAAAGCCAGATGTGGTGGCACACACCTTCAACCTCAGCACTTGAGAGCCAGAGGCAAATGGATCTCTGGGAATTTGAGGCCAAAGTGGTCTACATTCCAGGCAGCCAGAGCCACATTTGTGATACACTATCTCAAAGAGAAGATAGGGCTGGAGGGAGAAAGAGGAGGGAAGGAGGAGGGAAGAATGGAGCGGGGAGGAGAAAAAGGAGGAAAAAGAAAATAGAAAAGAATAGAATGGGAATGTGTTCAGGGCAAAGAGCTCCCTTCATCAATCAGGCTAGTGACTAAGGAATAATGACAATCATCAACTTGTGGTTAAAACTATACCATTTATTCTTTATGTTGTCCACTAATACCTAACTGGATAGATCATCTTGTTGAAGAGAAAAATCATTAAATATGTAGTCCTTGTTAAATTTTAACTTCTTTACAAGCTGTTCTCAAGATTAAGTTAGAGAACAAAACCAAAACACCAGAAATTCCTCCATAAATTACAAATGCATCCAACACTGGTAGAGAGATAAAGGGAGACTTCTCAGAGGAAAGAGAGGTAAATAATTAAAGAGATCTCATTACAAAGCAAGAAACTTGAGCTGTGTGGCGAGTCTGCGAGTGCTGCATCTTTCTAGAATGGTACGCTGTGTTTACTCTTGTCACCAAAACCAAATCCACTTTTGAAAGATACCAACAAGAATATTTTCTTTCAGGGCTAAACAGTTCTATAGCGCTCTACAACTAATTTACTTAAGTCTCTTGTGTGGGGTGTGGGTGTCATTTTTTTTTTTTTTTTTTGATAAAACAGTAAGCAGGAACCACTCAGCAGGGATCTGATTATAAAGGGTTACTTTATACTTATATTATAAAGGGTGTGGGGGAAGGTTGAGTAATGTGTTAAGTCAGAAGCAGGTTTCATATGTCCCCTCTCAAAGGATGGTCTCCTTTAGAACCAAATGAATGCAGTTAGTTAATTCTCACGCAATCCCTTTTCAAGATGCCCAAAGGTTAGGAACAATTAGAAAAAGTAACCCTGCTTTACATATTCTTCCATTAGAGCCTCTTATAAGAGATCCAAACAAAGGCTAGACACTAATATATTACAGCAGTGAGCACAAGGCAAAGCTACCTAAAAAGGCATGAATTCTCTTTTTCTACTCTACAAAAACTGTGGATCTGTGGGCAAAATAATTCTAAGATTAGGCGCAACTTTTCTAAATTAAGGAACAAGAAGAGTTAAGACTAATTAGCTCCATGGATGGCCCAGGAGTTAAGAGTACTGGCTGCTCTTGTAGAGGACCCTGTTCTGTTCCAAGCACCCACAAGCCAGCTCACAACCACTAATAAATGCAGTTCCAGGGGATCTGACACCCTCTTCGGATCTCCCCAGGCATGTGGTATACACATATACATTCAGGTATACATATACAAAATAAAATGCAACTTAAAAAATTCTTTGTTTCCTCCAAAGTTTTTAAAACCTAGGAGTCTGGCTAACTACACAACAGCCTTTGCAGAAGCTTCTCATTCATCAAGCTCTTCAAACTTCCTGCTCATCACAGTATATTTCTTGAAGGTCAAAAAGATTACCATCTGAGATAGTCTAATTTTGTGCAAGCGAGAACAAAGCAGCTGTCAGCCCTAGTCAAAAGAGACTCAGTACTTGGCTGGCAAGATGATTCAGTGAGTAAAGGTGATCCAAGGGACTCATATGGTAAAAGGAAAGAACTGCACTTGTCCTCTGACCTCCACTCTTGTGCCCACATACCTATACACATACATGTACACAGAAATAAAACATAATATAAAAATTTTTAAACAATTCTCATATTCTAATGAAGCTAATATGTAGCAAATTGAGCCCCTTCATTTTTACTTCTTTTTGAGACAGGGTCTTCTGTGGCCCTGTCTGACCTCACACACATAGCCTCAAGTGCTAGGATCACAGGTATACACCACCACACTGGCTTTAGCTTTGTTTTAAAGAACCACTATGTTACATGAATTAAAATTATTTCAGCCACAGAATTAAGAGTTTAGTCTTCAAATTAGAAATTTAACTTAAACTTAGTAATCACATGGAGAAACCTGGCTAAAAGCACCTGAACTGAAGTTCAAGTTAGAACAGTCAGTAGAACAAACCTATTATCTGAACCTCCTAGATGATGAACTGAAACTATGTGGCGTTCCTGCCACAGCTGTGCACAGCTGAATCATTAAGAAACACTGAATAAACCCAAACTGGGAAAATGACAACTGGCCTGGACCTCTCAAAAATGCTAAGGTTTGCAAATAAATGGAAAATGAAGGAACTACTGTCAAGCAATGACAGGACAGCTGAAGAGCACATATGATCTGATCCCAGACTTACTGTTATTATTTTATTAATAAGGTCTTTATTGGAACAAGTGGCAAAATCTGAGTAGAGTTTGTAGCTAATTATTATACTATTGATTTAAACCATTCTGTTACAGTTATAAAAGAGAAAGTCTTGTTTCTAATAAAGATTAAAAGAAGGACTTGGGGGAAAAGGGTAGTATGAACAGCACTTTCACATGATGCTGTATGTGTTTGTGTGTGTGTGTGTGTGTGTCTTCATAGGGAAGGAGAGAGGTAAATGGGAAGAAAAAACTTAACACCTAAGGAAATGTAGTAAAGATATTCATAAATTCTTTATACTATTATAAGATTTAATCAACTCTGAAAATTTCAAAATATAAAGTTAAAATGCGATGAGGGTATGGAAAACAGTGGTTAAAAACATCTCTAAGGGATGCAGCTCAGTTGGTACACTGCTTGCCTGGCACGCTTAAGACAGAGAGTTGGCTCGCTAACAGCATGCCCCTCCTTCCCCACCCAGTCTCCTAGTGAACTTGAGGAGGAAAAGAACAAAGGTGCACTGAAAGGTAGGTGATGCAATCAAGCAGCCACTGTGGCACTAGTGAACCACTTCTAAAAACACCTTGCCAGAAAACTCATCTCCTGGAATCACTAAGGGTTAAAGACCTAAGTGTAGATCTACTATGAAACACTTCCAAAAATTACATAATTTTACATTTTGGTTCAGTGGATAAACGCACCTGCTACCAAGCCTTACGACCTGAGTTCGAGCCCCATAATGCCACCTGCTAAAAGGAGCTGTCCTCCAACTATCACATTATGACCACTATGACCCCATGCCTTATATAAATGAGTAAATAAAATGTGATTAAAAAATTAAAAATTAAACCAGCTGTAGTAGCACATGCTTTTATTCTTAGCACTTCCAAAGCAGAGGCAGGTCAATCTCTAAAACTTCCAAGGCCTGCCTGGCCTACATAGTGGAAAACAAAAAGAAAGTAAGTAGAACTTGTAGGAATATTGTCTATTCAATAAAATATTTAAACTTAAACAGCCTACAGTGAGATCACTCAGAATTTAAAAAAGAAAAAGCTGCCGTGTGCCACAAACTATTTTCACTCCAGCTCAATAGTGACTTTTTCTTCAGAAAACAATAATTTTATGCTAGCAATGGTGGCACACCCTTTTAATCCCTGCATTTTAGAGGCAGAGGCAGGCAGTTCTCTGAGTTCAAGGGTAGCCTGGTCTGCAGGACAGCCAGGGCTACAGAGAGAACCTATGGCAAACAAAATAAAACAAACTGTACTGGCTGGTTTTGTGTGTCAACGTGACATAAGCTAGAATGATCAGAGGAAGGAGCCTCAGTTGACGAAATGATTCCATGAGATCCAGCTATAAGGCATTTTCTCAATTAGTGATCAATGGATGAGAGCCCTGCCTATTGTGGGCGGTGCCATCCCCGGGCTGGTAGCCCTGGCTTTTATAAGTAAGCAGGCTGAACAAGCCATGTGAAGCAATCTGGTAGGCAGCACCCTTCCATGGCTCTGCGTCAGCTCCTGCCTTCAGGTTCCAGCCCTGAGTTCCTGTCCTGACTTCTTCCAATGATGGAGTATGATCTGGAAGTGTAAGCTAAATAAACCCTTTCCTCTCCAACTTGCTTTTTGGTCACAATGTTCCACTGCAGCAATAGAAACCCTAAGATACAAACCAAGCAAAAAAACCCTTTTTAATAAAATATATGCAAATCACCAATATTTATACTACTTTGACAAGTTGTTATTTTTTTCCCCTGTGCCTTAATTGCTACTTAGGTTCTGATTTACCAAATGTTTTCCATGTACTAGGAATAGCTAAGACCTTGATGGGAATTAACTAATTTTTTGGGAACTAGAGCAGAAGTATCAGTGACAGTTCATTCTTTTCTGTGGAATAAGGATAAAACAATACAACAAGTAGCAGTAACAAGTTAAATCATACCATGCCAAATCATACTCAAGAAATCTAAAAGCACAATCTTGCTCATGAAGAAAATAATAAGCAAAATGTATTTGAAACTTTTTTAGATTTATTTTAAATTGTGTATATGTGTATGTCTATGTGTGTTTGTGCTCATGTATGTGCAGATACTCTTAGAGGCCAGAAGAGGAGCATCAGATCCCCCTGGAGCTAGAGTGGTTTATAAACAACCTGGCATGAGTACTGAGAACCAAATTCTTGTCTTCTGGAAAAACAGTATATACTCCTAACTCCAGATCAACATATTCAAATTTTACAGATGAAGAAATTAAAGCCTTTGAAGGATTAAGTAACTTGTTTAAGATTATAACATCAAAGTGGGCATAGTGGCACATGCTTTTAGTCCGAGTACTCAGAAGGCAGAGGCAGGCTGATCTCTTGTGAGTTCAAAGTCAGCCTGATCTACAAATTGAGTTCCAGGACAGCCAAGGCTGTTACACCAAAAGATTATAGCTCCAAAAATAAGTGGAGGAATCAGGCTTTCCAGTCCTTTATCTAAATTCCTAGGCTATTACATGAACATTTTTTTTTAACAGTAAGAGAATGCTTTAAAAGTTAAAATTCTGCTCACCTCTAATACAAGTGCTACAAAGAGCATTAAAACTTGGTACATTAGCCTGGTGCAGTGGCACATGCCTATAAATGGCAGCACTCATGGAAGCCAAAGGCAGGTGGATCTCTGTGAATATGAGACTAGCCTGGTCTACAAAGTGAGTCCAGGACAGAGAAACCCTGTCTCAAAAAACCAAACCAAACCAAAACAAAAAAACTGATTAAAAAAAAAAAAAACTGATTACATTATAACAGGGAACTAAACAATTCTATATAACAATTTATCAGAACACCACATAAGACTCTACTATGTGTTGACTAAATTCTAATCTATGTTCTCAAAAGTAACATAATATAGGTGTGTATTGAAAAATAACTTATGAAAGTAGTTCCTAATAGAGGAAGTGTACTGATAATTTGCTTACTCTAATCAAGCCAAAGTAAATTATGAGTCAACACAAGTAAAATGTTCCTTTTCCAAGATGCTGACCTGGTTATCCACATTCCAAAATAGCATGAACCTTGTCCCTTTCCCATTACTCATTTAAACCTCTCTCTATGCAGGCTTGGCTACTCCTTCTATATCATGGAAGAAGAATCAGTGCTTTTTTAAAGACTTTTTATTTTAGTGTGTGATGTGTGTCTGTCACAGGTGTGTAGGTACCAGCATCAGATCCCTTAAAGCTACAGATACAGACAGCTGTGAGCCATCCAACATGCATGCTGGAAACACAACTCAGGTGTTCTGGAAGAGCAGCAAGTACCCTTAAATGCTGAGCCATCTCTCCAGCCAGATTTCTATCTAATCTCAAAAGGTGTTTACATGGTTCAATAGGCAGGATTCTCAGTATTTATCTTATGAAAGTACATTTCTAAAGAGAAGAACATACATAAGAATGTGTAACTCTGTCTCTTTGACTATGAAATATAGACTAAATAGCCTGAGCACAAGGAAGTGTACAAATTACTTAAAAAAAAAAAAAAAATTTCCCCCAAATGAATTCAGATGACTTAGCAACATGCAAGAATTGCAACTTCGCATCAAGAAACTCTTAAATCACTTCCTAAAACTCCAGTTCCCAGCCAGGTGTGCTGGAGCACACCTCTGATTCCAGTGCTCAGGAGGCAGAAGCAGGCATATCTCTGTGAGTTTGAGGCCAGCCTGGTCTATAAAGTGAGTCCAGGACAGCCTAGGTTACACAGAAAAACCCTGACTCGAAAAACAAAACAAAACAACAAAAAACTCCAGTTCCCACTGGTGTAACTTGAAAAACACAAATCTTACCTGTTAGAATTGTCTGAAAAGCAGCTTCAACATTTGTAGAATCTAGAGCAGAAGTCTCAATGAATGACAAACCATTCTTCTCTGTAAAGAGAAACACAATTTTTGGCCTTGTGAATTTTGACTGCCATTTAATAACGCTGGTGATCCATTCCAGGGCCTCACCAATGCTAGATAAGCCTTCTACCACTGAGCTATCTCCTCAACCTTTCTTTCACAAGGTGTTTTAGTTTTGGTTTTTCAAGACAGGGTTTCTCTGTATAGCCTTGGCTATCCTAGAACTCTTTTACCAGGTTGGCCTCTAACTCAGAGATTCACCTGGCTCTGCCTCCGCCTCCGGGAGTGCTAGGTTCAAAGGCATGCTCCACATTACAAGTGTGATAAGCTCGAGATCACAAACTGGGAGGATAAAAGACTAAGACCTGGCTGGGCACGTGCACTTGAGAGGTGGAGGGAGGACCAGGAATTCAAGACCAGCATGGGCCACATGAGAAAGTGTCTCAAAACACCAACCAGACAAAAAACCCTTAGACTATACCAACTTCTGCAGTAATAAGAACAGTTCTACTTTTACTTCAGAAAATTATAAGTAACAGTAAGAAATTTTCATTCACTAGCTTCTAAGTATTGCTGCCTATGTATACCACACTGGCAATGAATGGAACTATTCAAAATACAGTAAACTTACCAAACATCTCACTATTTCCACCCCTAACCATCCTCCCTGGCAACTACATAGCTAGAAACATGTTCATTTATAATTCTGCTCTATCTGAAATTTTTAAAAGTTAGAGGAAAATATTCACAACACTTTCACTAATAAAACATCATGACCTCCTAGCTAATGCAGTGCCACTTTCTTCTGGTAGTTATCTCTACAAAAGTGCAGCAAAAAACAAGCAGATCCCACAAAGCCCAAAGTTGCTCAGCTTCTAAGTAGGCACATCCTTGTCAGTCCTTGACATACTACTTTCTAGACTCAGAGAACGGCCTTATTAAAGAATAGAGGTGTAAGGGCTGGAGAGATGCCTCAGGGGTTGAGAACACTGGTTGCTCTTCCAGAGGTCCTGAGTTCAATTCCCAGCATCTTCACAATGGCTCACAACCACCTATAATGGGATCTGATGCCCTCTCTGTCAAGCAAGCATACATGCAAATAGAGCACTCATATACATAAAATACATAAATATTTTTAAAACAGCAGTGTAATGCTCAAACAGAGAAATGAAGAAGCACTGCAATATTGTGGAGTCCACATTACTAACCTGCAAAAGCTCTTGCTTCATCTGTAGGAACTGCCCTGAGATGACGTAAGTCACTCTTATTGCCCACAAGCATGATAACGATGTTACTATCAGCATGATCTCGCAGTTCTTTCAGCCATCGCTCTACATTTTCATATGTGAGATGCTTAGCAATGTCATAAACCAATAAGGCACCTACTGCTCCACGATAGTATCTGCAAACAAAAACATATGTAACTATCAGAAGACAATCACTAAGTAGAAGGAACACCAACAAGAACTCAAAACAGAGATGGTGTAGGGCTGGAGAGACTGCTCAATGGTTAAAGCCCTGGCTGTCCAAGCATGAGGCTCTGAGATAAAATCCCCAGAACTCACGTAAAAGCTGACACGGTAGCACTCAGTAATCCTGGCCCTCCTACCGTGAGATGGGGGGCTGAAATAGGAGAATCCCCCAGAAGTGCACAGGCCAGATAGCCTGGCATAAACAGCATTAAATAACAGATACTACCTGCCTCAAACAAGATAGAAGGTGGGAACCAATACCCAATGTTGTCCCTCTGACCTTTATACACATAGCACTAATGCACTAATACACACACACACACACACACACACACACACAAGCACTAACATACACATCCCATAAGCTCTCTTACATACACATGCATGGGAATGCACACAGTTTTTAAAAATAATAATACAAGCTTATAAATAAATTTCTAAAAATTCCTAGTATCACATCAGGGGTAGTGACACATACCTGTAATTCCAGCACTCATGACACTAAGGTAGAAAGACAGCTGTAAATCTGAGGCCTGCCTGGGCTACATAATGAGTGCAATGCTACAAAGTGAGACCAGGTCTCAAAACACACACACACAAACAGATTATAGATATGTAGTCATCCCTTATATGAGGTTTCATACTTAGTCATCCATGTCCAAAAATATTACATGGAAAACCCTAGAAATATAAAATTAATAAGCTTTAAATTGTACTATTTTAAGTATTGTGATGAAACTTCTCAGTGTTCCCCTTCATCTAGGCCAGCACACGACTCATCCTTTGTCCAATGTACCCATACTACCTGCCCGTAGCCCTCCTATTATTTACAGTCTTTTCTTATGTTCAAGTAACCCTTAGTTTATTTAATAATGGCTCCCAATGCAACTAGAGCGAGCCAAAGAGAAGCTACAAAGGGTCTATTAAGAGAAAAAATACATGGTGCTGGAGAAATAGCTCAACAGTTAAGAGCACTTACTACTCTTAGAGGTGCCAGGTTTGTTTTCTAGCACCTACATGGTGGTTCACAACCATTTATAACTCCACTTTCAGGGGAATCTTGTAAGCATAAGGTTACTGTGTAATTCAAATGCTGATTTCTGTACCCTCCCTTTTCTGGTTGCAAAGCTTGTTCTGAAAATTTCCTGTCTCAATGTTGTGTTAACAATGCTCCCAATTGTCCCCTGATACGCCAATAGAGTAGCTTACAGCCAAATTGCTGAGCAGGGAAGAAAATGGGGCTGGACTTCCTACCAGCCAGGGGAGGAGGAGTTAGAGGAGGAAGTAGAGGATGGAGCCACAGGGAGAGGTCCAAGAGACATCAGGAGAGGAGCTAGAGCAGAGAAAGCTACAACGTGCAAGAGTTTCTGGGATGCACACTGGGAGAAAACCAGATTAGCTTAGAGGGCTTAGAATAGAGTAATAACTGCTCAATTATTGTGTTGTGAAGCTTATTATTAAACAAATATAAAAGTCTCAATTATTTGTGTGATAGCCAGGTTAAGAGAGAAACTGAGAAGCAAACATAGTTTTATAAAAATAACTTTAACATTTGGATCTGATATCATGTTCTTACTTCTATGGGCACCAAACATGAACATGATACGCATACACATATGCAGGCAAGACACAAATAAAAATGAAATGAAACATACAAGAGAGAGAAACATACAAGGTTCAGTACAATCTGTGATTACAGGTATCTATGGAGAGTCTTGGAATACATCTTCCAAGGTTAAAGGAGGACTACTGTTCCTTCCCAATACCTAACATCAGCAATTCACTTGATACCAACCTATTCTAGAACTGAAAAACCATGAACTTACGCAGACGTTATAGCCCTGTACCGCTCCTGCCCTGCTGTGTCCCATATCTGTGCCTTTATAGTTTTCCCATCAACCTGGATACTTCTTGTTGCAAACTCTACTCCAATGGTACTCTTGCTTTCCAGATTAAACTCATTCCGAGTAAATCGAGACAGGAGGTTACTCTTTCCGACACCAGAATCTCCAATAAGGACAACTGAAAAGACAAAAAATACATATATATAAGCTGGATGAAGGCAAGCACATTCAGAATACCAACATGCTGCTATAGGAAGACATTTGGCTACAAAATAAATACAACCAAAGATTTTTAAAGAAATAGAGGCATAGTACTGAATAGCTTATGTCCATGACCAATCAATTAAAACCAATCCCTTGCCCTTTTTAATCTATTTTTATCTGCATAATGACTTCCACACATTATCTGCTTAGCAAAGATCAGATCTAGCGCCCCAACCAAAACACAACCTCCTCTTTTTTCCTATTTGGGAACTCAACCCAGGGCCTTATACACGCAAGGCAGGTAAACACCTCACCACTAAGCTACACCCCCGCCCTTAACATGCAATCTTGCTATTTTAATCATGGGTTACTCTAGCCTCCAATGCAGACATTAACTGCCTTTAATTTAAACCAAACTTACTACCTTAGAAAGTATTCTGAAAAGTAAATATTAACAACTTGTGTTATTCGCATGTGTTAGACATCAAACAAAAACTGTCAGTGCACAGAGTAGAAGAATGTGTACATCCTACTAGTTTCATTGAAGACTGGGTGTGATGTGAGACCTGAGACATTTAAACATGAGGCACAAGGCTTACAAGCTTTGCTGCTCTGCTCATGGAACCTATAATCAGCTTTAATAGTTATATTTCACAGACTGGCAGAAAGCCACAGGAGTACTCTACCTCACTAGAGACAAACAGAAGCCCTAGAAAGCCCACAATTCTGACATATTGAGTCAAAGCCAAAGCAAGGACGGCAAACACTTTCACTAAGACTTCATAAAAAATTTAAAAACAAGTTTTGATTATACTCACTTCCTATGATTTTTATAGAAGGCAGTTTATTTACAAGCAACTTTTCACCCAAGGTGTTACCATACTTTGACATTTTTCAAATAGGGCTAGTGAGCTGACTTAGCAAGCAAAGACACTCGCAACCAAGCCTGAGGACTACAGAGTTCCATCTCCAGGAGTGGAAGAAAGCCTACTCCAAAAGTCATCCTCTGATTTCCGCATGCACGAAGCTCACCCACGAGTGAATGAATATCATTTCCTATGTGCATACACGTGAGTCTGCGTGTTTACGCTCTGTGTGTATGTGTGGGGAGGGCAGAGGAGATGAGAGCTGGGTACAGCCAGTAGTAAATGACTGACCACAGGTGCTGGAAACTCAACTGGGTCTTTTATAAGAGCAGCCAGTTCTTAAGCACTAAGTCACTTCTGCAGTCCCAATAAATGGAATCAAGAAGAAAAAAAGGACATTTCAGGGGACTGGAGAGATGGCTGAATGGTTAAGAGCACTTACAACCCTTTAACTCCCTTAGACTCCAGACGACAGTTTGTAATTCCAGTTCCAGGATCTGATGTCCTTTCCTGGCCCCTGCCCATACTGCACACAAGAAGTTAACAGACAGACATGCAGACCAAATCACCCACACACTTAAAAATCTCAGAGCTGGGTATGGTACACTCATTTAATCCCAGCATTTAGAAGACAGAGACAGGCAGATCTCTGAGTTTGAGACCAATCTGGTCTACACAAAGTTCCAGGCCAGCCAGAGCTGTATAAATTATATATATATAAATGATACCCTGTATCAAAACAAACAAACAAACAAAACAGAGCCATCCAGTAGTAGCATACACCTTTAACCCAAGCACTTGGGAGGCAGAGGCAGATGGACCTCTGAGTTTGAGGCCAGCCTGATCTAGAGAGTAGTTCCAGGATAGTCAGGGCTACATAGAGAAACCCTGTCTGGGGGGAGGATGGGACATACACAAACAGGAAAGGTTTTTATAAGAAACACACTGAGGTTTTTATAAGAAAGGTTCTCATTCTGGAACCAAGGTTGGTCTAGAATTCACAGAACCCTCTTGCCTCAGCTTCCCAAATGTTGAGATTAAAGGTGTATGCCATCATGCTCAACTTCAGAGAAGTGTGTTAAAAACATGAATTTAAAGATCAAAATGAGCAGCCACGGTGGTGCATGTCTTTATTCCCAGCACTCAGGAGGTAGGCTGGAGTTGGAAGTCAGCCTGTCTACAAAGCAAGTCCAGGATAGCCAAGGCTACACAGAGAAACCCTGTATCAAAAAACAAAAACTGCCAAACAAAAAACAAAACAAAAAGATCAAATTTGGTTTGGAGATTTACAGAATCTGAGCTAGACAATATTTTTTCTATGTAAAAATTTTTGTTGGTATTTTAGTGAGCAAAGTATTTATTTCTACTGCTGACTGGTAACACTTCTTAACTGGCTGACTCATTTTAGACATCAGACTAGAAAATCAACACTCGAGTTTGAGGCCAGGGAATAATAAGCCATGCTCTACTCAGAAAGCTGGAATTTGATGGTGCTGTAGAAAGAAGGCAGACTACACTCCAGCCAAAGGAGAAAGCGAGCCCATGTGCACCTTTCTTGTCACAGAAGTAGACACAAGCTGGCACAACCATGCATTATCAAAGGCATATCTTTCTGGCTTTCTCTATAAACTGATTCAGCAAGAAATCCCAGCAGCAGTGACCCCATGCAGCAAAGAGAAGTTATTTCTATCTTTGTAGTCAATTAGAGGGTACCCTAGCAAACAGACATTAAATGCTTTTACTGGATACCAGGAGAAATGATGTCAAGGTCAAGGAACAGAAACAATACACTTTCAATTTTAAAGAATGGTTAGCAGGCTTGTTTCCAAACTCCACCAGTATGGATGTGAAGCTGAGTCCCAGATACATTAATAGAGCCTCCCTATTAATAAGATAAATTCACTGTTGTTTCTTAATATAAGAGGCTAAATGGTCAGATCACATCTCCTGGATGTGGGGGAGAGGGTCCCAGCCAAGAACCTAGTCTAGGATTCAGCCAAAACTCCCTACACCTTTCCTGAAATAACAATCCTTCAGTCACTCCAAAATTACAGAAACTGAGGCCTGGGAAATGATGGTTTAGCACTAAAAGCAGTTGCTGCCAAGCCTAAAGACCTGAGTTCAATCCTATAGACCCACATAGAAAGAGAACCAACTCCTTCACCTGTCTTAGACTTGTTTATGTACATTCCATGGCATGGGCCCACACACCCCAAACACTTAAACAAACAAGCAAATCAATATAAATTTGTGGAAGAGGGCTGGAAAATCTGTTGGGGAAATTTCTTTTGAGTCACTTCTGGTCCCACACTAGCATTAACACTAACTTGAGGCATGACTAGTGAAGAAGGAAAAACCAAAGAACACATCTAATTAATTCACAGACACTCAGTAACTCAAGCAGTAATTCAGAAGCCAGGAACAATTTAAAGGCAAAGAGCACGGCATGGGAGCCGTGGGAGCACGGCATCTGGGCCACACCGCCTTTTGGTGGCGAACACCTTGAGAGAACACTACACCTCCCACAAACCCTCCAGCACTATTCATGCTTTGTTTCAGTTTAAAATCTTAGCCATTCTTACATTTTTTGGTTTTGGTTTTATTTTACTTTCTGTGTATGAATGTTTTGCCTGCATGTATGTATGTCCTGAGTGGCTGTGGTTAAAAGTACTCTTAACTGCTGAGCAATCTCTGCACACACACCCCATGTTTTGACTTCTACTTTTAACTGATAACTAAACTTACCATCTCACCCATGTCAAATCTTTACACCACACTAAGAGAATTCCACCCCCCAGTGTAACCAATTAATTTGGGGGAAAGGAGGGGAGACAGGGTTTCTCTGTGTAGCTCTGGCTGTTCTGGACTCACCTTGTAACACCAGGCTGGCCTTGACCTCATAGATCTGCCTGCCTCTGCCTCCCTGAGTGCTGGGATTATAGGCGTGTGCCACTGCACCCAGTTCAACAATTAATTTTATTATTTAAAAAGTAGCAATAGTTTCAAGATTCACAAATATTCTAACAGTATAAAATAGTTATCCCAGCTAGCTACTGACAAGCTCGCCATAGTCAAGACTAGCAACTTGTCAAAGAAAAGGATGTCTTAAATGACAGAAGATTCCAGTTTTGTAAGGACAGAAAAAGGGATATTGAAATGTGCCATGATAAGGAGAGCTGTTCTCACTTTCTAATCCAAACAAGGAATGATCTATTTAGGCTCACTGGATGGATGGATGGATGGATGGATGGATGGATGGATGGAATTACCTAACAAACAAAAGAGAATTTATTTGTCCATTTTTTAAAAAACGAAATTAATGGACCTTTCTTTGTGGGCTCAAAATTAAACAATTTCCAGTCAAAATACTTTCTCTCATTAGGATGAGAGCATTTAATCGCTTGCCCTACCCCTCACAGTGTGGGATCTAACATCCTAGGGTTAATGCCAAGCACATGATTTATGAGTTATTACCTACCACCAAGCCCCTTGTTTTCTTAAAAATTTGGGAAACTATATGTTCATATCCAACAATTAAAGAAATCAATTTCTGGGTGAGCAGGATGGCTCAGCAGATAAAGGACACTTGCCACCAAGCCTGATGTTAGAAAGAGAAGACTTCTGATTGCCCACACTCACCATGGCACCCCCCCCGAAATATACAAATATCACATGGATAAGTAAGGAAATAAATAAATGCAATAAAAAAATGTAGGGGAATTCAGTAAAATGTTATGCCCACTACTAATATTTTAAGTTGAATATATTTAAGTATCTTAAGTACATACATATTAAACATGACTCTAACGTAAATAAAGTTATTTTTAAACTGAATGTCAATATAATTCCTAAAATAATAAAATGCCCCCACAACTTCGATGGCCTCATCTGCTGGCACTCAACCTAATACCTATTGTTTACATATATGCTCTATATATTATACATACCACAAGTATCAGACTGCTAAAAACTGAAAGCAAAGTATATATATTCAAAGTTTTTATTACTAACTACGTTTAGGTATTTTTGCTATTGTTTTTGTTATTTGTTTTTTCTGAAACACAAACTTACTCTGTAGCCCAGGCTGACCTCAGAATCATGGCTATCCACCTGCCTCAGCCTCTCAAGTACTGGAATCACAGGCATGAGCCACCATGCTCAGCCCACAGTTAAGTTTTATACTTCTCTGGTAAGCTCATTTACTGGATTAAAACTTAACTTCTCATCTCATATACAGAATATTAGCTTTAAAGCTTTCTAACTGAGCCTAGTGTGGTTGTGCACGCCTTTAATCCCAACAAGCAAGAGAGGCAAAGGCAGGCAGATCTCTGTGAGTCCAAGGCCACCCTGGTCAAGAACAGCCTAGGCTACACAGAGAAACCCTGTCTCAAAAAACCAGATAGAGAGATATAGCTGGATAGAAAAAGAGAGAGAGAGAGAGAGAAAGAAAGAAAGAAAGAAAGAAAGAAAGAAAGAAAGAAAGAAAGAAAGAAAAAGAAAGGATTTTTTTTATAAACTTACCAACTGAAATCACTATTTATTTTCATACTGGTTTTCAAAAGCTTGGAAGTATTTCTACTTTCAACCATATTCACAGTCCAACCCCATCAAGTTTTTAAAATAAAATGTATCAATAATGCTGAAGTCTAGACAAGTTTTTCCAGATTCATCAGAATCTGAGTTGCTCAACCAAAAGTTGTGAAAGAAAAGTGATCAAGATTCAAGTTGGTCCTCTGACAATCAGCTGATGACCCATGACACCTGGACTTCAATAAGACTCAAAAGAAAACGGCAGGAGAGGTATACTATGCACCCAGCTACTTCAAGAAAATGCCACCTTGACTCCCCTGGAACCCATCTATGACACTTGTGCCTTAACAGTTTTTAAGACAGTCATGCTTTAAAGAAATAAAAGAAACTCCAAGTCTCACTGCAAAGCTCAAGGAAAAATTAATTTTCAAGAGTAAATACATAAATTAGCATTGTCCTGATCTACCCACATTACATTCCCATTTAGACTACTCCACTCCATGCTAATAAACACCCCATCATGCTCAATGTTGCAAACTCCAGTGGGCTAGGTTAGCCTTCTCCAAAGTAGAAATGCTATGGTTCATCTTAGTGAATAAATCTCTGCAGAATGAAATCATTTTAAAATAATTGTATAAGTAAGAAATTGGCTAAGTAATCAGTGTTGAAATAAAAAATAAAGTGACTCATATCCTGTCGCAGCTTCTAAAAAGTGGAAACTCTTCTCAGCAGAATTTTTTAAACACCCAGTCTCATACAACAAAGTATACAAGAAATAAAACCAGAACCCACGTAGATACAAAATATTTCACAAGGTTTTTGGTTCTGTGCTTTTTAAATTAAAGCTTACACACTCTTTAACTTAGACTTATTGTTTAGTGAGGTGGCTCAGTGGGTGAAGGTGCTTGCTACCAAGCCAGACAACCTGACCTCAACCCGAGATTCACGTGGTGGGAGGAACTGACTCCCAAAAGTTGTTCTCTCACCTCCACGAGTGCTGTGCTACACATTAGCGCAGAGATCAATAAAAGTAATTTTTAAAATTTTTAAAGATTTATGGTTCAGAAATCTGATAAGAACTATAACAACTTCATTTATAACCATTTATTGAGTCCTCACAAGAGCTAAATTGTATAATCTCACTCTTCAAAAAAAACTCACTCCTCACAGTATTTACTGAGGAAACTGAGGCTCAGGAAAGCTGAGCATGGGGAAATGGTATAATTATATTCTAACTTCAAAGCATTTAAAAAAAAAAACTTTTAAAGGGTTAACTTTTCCAAGGTCACAACACAAACAAGGATAAAAGCCCAGTGTTTTCTCCTTGTTCAAAGGATAATCTAACCTCAAAATTAAACGTAATTTTTTTCAGCCAACCTAAGATAAATTAACATTTTTAGGAAAAATAAAACAAACAGCTTTCTATAACCAACCTTCACATTCCAAACCAAATAGGAGAAATAACTTCAAAAGACACTAGGTACTGCCATTAAGTATTAAACCTCCCTGACTGACTGAACCCGGAAGTCTCCTGGGATTTATGTAATTTCACATCATCGCACATGCCTTCAACAAACATTCTAGGTCTCCTATTTACTTTGATTTTGATTTTGATTTTTTGAGACAGGGTCTCACTATGTAGCCCTGGCTGGCCTGGAACTCACAGAGATCTGCCTGCTTCTTCCTCCCAAATGCTGGAATTTTAAAATCTCGTACCACCACGCCTGGCTTTCCTATTTGTATTTTTTTAAAGTTTGATACCTTCTTATCTATAAATTACTTTCCAATAGGGTAGTAAGGGTAAACACTGAAGGTACTTACCCTCTAAGTGTAATATTCAGAGAAGTAAATAATGATAAAGGCGTACCAGCACCTAATATGCCAAGACTTGTAAAGTATTTGGTAATGCAAAGAAATGTTTCCTGTTTCTTCATTTAGTCCATCATTCTTAGCGCCCAGTGGCAAAGCCAGAAACACTCACCATGCTTAACACTCTTGAACCTCCACCCTCCACAGTAAAGCTTTAAGAGCAATGGCTTCTTCCTGTCTGGTAATGATCTTTGTTCACATTACTGATGTCCACCCTTCTAATTCAGGAGCAAGACTATGAAAGTGAGAGCGCTTTCGTGAACCAAAAAAAAAAAAAAAACAGCCTTCACTGTACTCTCTTTTCACTGAGAACTGTATCCTTTCACTTTGGCTTCCTTCCGAACTCAACCAACCAATAACCAAGTCTCTATCGACTCCCCATCCTCCCAGGTTCTGTCACCAGAGCCCTCTCCCACCGCTTGGGAAAGGTATGTGACCAACCAGGGCTCTTCCCTTCCTGTTGGATCCTCCCAGTGTTGCAGCAGGAAGCAACCAGTCCATAGTGATAAGCTAGCTAGTATTTGTGCAGCGCACAACCTTTCCTGTTCGGGAACTAGGCCTTCAGGTCTGGCAGGGATAACAGCCACCACCCATCCGCAGCCCCTTCTCGAAAGCCAAGTAAATGAGTTATCTGGTTGTGGCTGGGCAGGGACGGGAGAAGAAAGGGGTTAAAAAACGAGAGGTGGGAGGTCATCTGCCCGCCTGGACACTGCGACAAGTGCACGCACGCCGGGGTGATGGACAACCCCCTGAGCCTCCCCGTCCCTCCCTCCCACCAGTCCAGGTCGCACCGGAGCACTAAACGTTTTGTGACGAGGAAAGGCGCAGTTGCCCGTCTGTGTGGAAGGAGGGGACAGTCCGCGGGCACTGACCTCGAGGTCTGCGGGGATGGGGGTGGGGGCCCCGGGACCTGCGAATTTGGCCGAAGCCCAGAGAAGGCTCCCTCGGAGGGTGGGGAAGGGAAACGAACCGAAAAGAACACACAAAAACCCAGAGGGAGTCGGGGTCCCGACGCGGGTGCTTAGCCGAGGCAGGGGCCTGTCAGAGGGGGATGTGAGGCCGGCAGCGTGCATCCAAGAGGAGGGGCCCGAGACGCCCAGGGCAGGGCTGTACCGCCGCGGGGAAGGACAGAGCAGGGGCGCCGCGGGCCAGCGGGCCTAGCCGGGGCGCGGAACCGCCGCGGGCGGCGGGACCCCGTCGGGGCGGCCGGGAGGAAGCGCCGAGGCGGCCTCCGTCCTGGGCACGGCTGGCCTCGCGCGGGTCCCCCGGGAGAGCCTCGGGCCCCGGGGGGCATTCGGTGGCCCACCGCCTCACCTTTAAAGAGGTAGTCGTACTCGTCGTCGCGGGTGCCCATGGCGCGGCCGGGGAGCTGAGGGGCGGGAGCGGCAGTGGCAACGGCGGCGGGACCAGGGGGCGTCGCTGCAGGGGTAGCCCGAGCGCGGAGCTTCAGCTGCCGGACCGGGTAAAGAGCCCCGCCCTGGCCCTGCGTCACTTCCGGCGGGCCCCAGCCCCTCACAGGAAGTACTTCCGGAGAAATGGCGCCCCGCCCCTGAGCTAAGCAAGGTGGATCACGCAAGACTGGGCTCTGCACTCTCGCCCGCCTGGGAAGCCTTACAGGAAAACAGTCTTAAAATGCCCAGCTTGCCACGGTCCTCGAGGTCTTCGGCTGTTTCTTTTCCCAACCATTCAGGAAAGCGAGGTGCAGGTTTCTCAGCGTTTGACTTCCGGTAGGGGGCGGAGTTTTCTCTGTATTAGGTACCTAAAGTGGCTGTTGCTTCCGTGCCGGTTCCATGGTGTAATGGTTAGCACTCTGGACTCTGAATCCAGCGATCCGAGTTCAAATCTCGGTGGAACCTGATGCTTTTCTTCCAACTTTTTATTGTTATGTTCTTAATTCATATTAAATAATAGAATAACCTTGTTATATCTACTGTTAGACTGAGCCACATAATAATATTTACCTATGAAGACTGCCTTCAGTAGTAGAATACTGTCTTCAGTAGTATGGGCTACATGAAAACCTAGTAATTAAATTTTTTTTAGCCTTGGGTAAAGCTTGTTGCTTGATTTCCTTTTGCTGGAATTTTCTACCCTCAGCTTCAGTTAAGGACAGGCACTCCTCATCCACTTAATCTCTTCAGAAATCTCTCACACTATCCCCATTAAAAGAACTTCACCCACCTTCCTCATAAAGATGCATCAAGATCTTGAGTCCTATTTTCTGGCCTCCAGGCTAAGCCGTGTTAAATCAATTTAACACAAGAATGGCAGTTTCCATTTTAGCGAATGTCAGTGTTAAGACTCGAGACTTTTGCGTAGCGTCTCCTCATAGTTCTGTTTTTATCATGGTTTGCGGCGGTCTGGCCTCTCCCCTCTGTAACCCAGGATGGCTTGAAATCACTAGCCCAGGCTGCTGCTGTCCTCCTCTGCCCCTCTTACCACCACCACCCATCCCCATACACACAGACAGCTATTCGCCTGATAATTTCTGGGTAACATATGTTAGGTCATGAAAAAAGAATTCAGCCTACAAATGGAATTCAAGTTGCAAATCAGCTGACTTTAAGCAGGGGTCTTATCTTTGCTTCTCTGAGCAGGCTCAGGGTTGTCGGTAGGGTCTTTCCAAAGTTGCAAAAGTGCTTTCAGCAGGAATGGGGAGCTCCTCCACACTGCTACCTTCTGGGTTCACTTATCCAAGAAGGACCTGCACTCAGGGAAATCTGATTCTTGACTTTGCCACAGGAAAACATTTCAGGATGAGCTAATATGAAACAGAATCATAATTTATTACAAAGAGGTTTTAATACAGATTCTAAGCTCTGTGCTTAAGAGGAAGTGAGGGTCTCAGAAAGAAAGACATGGCCAAGAGCATGGATGTGAGCCACTCTGAGAGTCCTGCCTTGTCTCCATAGGCACCATATATGTCCAGGGTTTCAAATCTATCATCAAAGAATTGCTGAGGAATCTGAGGTCACAGGGTGTCTCCTATTTGGTGAGTAGGAACAGAACTGATAGGGTAAACTCCCAGGTCACAAGGAGGATTGCAGGGGAACCTAAGATGCTGTTACTGCAAACAAAGGTTTAGTCTTGTTTGTGAGATCTGGGAGAAGTTAGGATGCGTCATGGATAGTTCATTGCTACCTTAACATTTTCTCTATAAGCATAATGTTCTAACCGGCCATAACTAAGCCAGGTGTGGTTACACATGTTTTTAACCCCACTTGGGAGGCAGAGGCAAATGTCTTTGTGAGTTAAAGTCTGGCTTAGTCTCCATAGTGAGTTCCAGGCCAGCCAGAATTACAAAATAGGAAAAACAAAACAAAAGCCATCCCTACAGCTGGGGACAGCAAGCACACACCTGTGGTCCCAGCCCTTAAGAGGAAGAACTCCAAGTTCTAGGCCAGTCTGGCTATGATCTGTCTCAAACACGGTGCGTGTGTGTGTGTGTGTGTGTGTGTGTGTGTGTGTGTGTGACTACTCCTTGATTTTAGTCCAGTGCAGAGTTTGTTTAAAATCACCAAGCGCATAGCAATTAATTTTAGCAAGCAAAGAAAATGAATACAACGTCATTTTCAATACTTTGTCCTCTAGTACAAAAGGTTAGACTTCCAGGCATGGTGGCACACACCTGTGATACCAGCACCTGGGAGATGGAGGCAAGAGGGTCAGGCCAAACTCCATTCAAACCCCAGCCTTGGACAGGTGACAGTCATCCAAACTGGGCGAGGTGCATACTACGGCTTAAGCAGCTGCACGCTTTTAAGGAACCTACACGCGACTAACAATCATTGTCATCCAGTCTTGGTGCTGCTTAACTTGGAGGAGACAAGACGGGGCCACAAACCGGAAATCCGGTAACTGGGCACCAAGGTGGAAAAAGCAAGCAAGGAAGCTTGTTTTGGGAAGCGAGGAAAAAACATGACCATGGGAGTGTGTTGAACAAGGCCATGGAAGCTGCCAGAAGCTTTAAGCACATTTTCCCTTAGGTCATTATTTCTTAGTGTGAATTCTGAGCAGGACAATAGTGTTTCTCAACAGAAACCTGCATGATCAGCCACACTGAGAACTACACATTGTCTCACATCTGAGAGATTACCTCAGCTCATGGGCATTTTTTAAGTCTATAAATAGTCACCTCTGAAAAAATATGTATTAGCTGTGAAAGAAGACATTATGGGGCTGGAACGATGGCTCACCTGACAGGAGTTATACTCCCTGCACCCAGGACGAGGCTGACAACCAGCCTCCTGTGGCTCCGGCTCCAGGGGACTCATCTTTTCTGGCCTGCCGTGGGCGTTGCATGCAAGCACACATATTCATGCACATAATTAAACAGATAAGATAAGCCAGATGCATGGTATAGATAGATGATAGATAGATAGATAGATAGATAGATAGATAGATAGATAGATAGAGATAGGTAGGTAGGTAGATAGATAGATAGATAGATAGATAGATAGATAGATAG